CAGCAGTTCGAAGCACACAAGTGCAAGCAGATAAATAGGTAGTGTTGTGGCGGGAAGGTAAACGGCATTTCCACATGCTCTGGTTTTGGTCCCGGTGCTCCATTGCGCCAGAAGCAGTTTAGTCATGCTGGCCACATGACCTGGAAAGCTGTCTGTGGACAAATGCCGGCTCCCTCGGCCTGAAAGTGAAATAAGCGCCGCAACCCCATAGTCATCTTTGACTGGACTTAACCATCCAGGTATCCTTTACGTTTACCTTTATATTTTTACCCTCCAACATTTTACAGATGAAAATACAGTGGTACCTCGGGTTACAGATGCCTCAGGTTACAGACGCTTCAGGTTACAGACTCCACTAACCCAGAAATAGTACCTCAGGTTAAGAACTTTGCTTCAGGATGAGAACAGAAATTGTGCGGCGGCGGCAGCAGGAGGCCCCATTAGCTGAAGTGGTACCTCAGGTTAAGAACAGTTTCAGGTTAAGAACGGAGCAGGGACCGAACAACGGGAGCTCACCCCGTCGCGGGGATTTGAACCACCGACCTTCTGATCAGCAAGTCCTAGGCTCTGTGGTTTAACCCACAGCGCCACCCGCGTCCCTTACAACATTTCATTAGGTGACTGCAATTTCTAGTGTTGTAAGAGAGACCTTTCAGTCTCCATCTTCTCCAAACCATGCATTGCTTGATAAATCTCCATAATGTCACCTCTTTGATTTATTATTCTAAACTAAAAAAGCTCTCATTCCTTTTGCTGAAACCTTCAAAGCAGGAAAACTTTCTATAAGGCAGGTGTTGGGCCTCTTGTGCTTGTGAGTATGAAAGTCAGTTCACAAACTGATGGGAAATAAAGCATTGAATGACTTGGGGAAATATTTGCATGTTATCGCGCAAGACCTAAAACCCTGTAGTTTTAAAACCACAGAGAAACTCAGAACCAATGTTGCATGGGGGACAAATCATAGAATTGCTGAGTTGGAGGGTCACCTTGTCCAACCCCCCTACAATGTAAGAGTCTCAACACTACTGGACTTCAATCTCATTTCAAATTAGTGTTTAGCTGTATATGATTTTTATGCATGCCCTCGGTGAATGCCTTAGGCCTCAGTTCCTCTGTCTGTAAAAAGGAAATTACTGTGACTCAGTTTGAGGAGGACAAATAAAACAGCACTTTATCAACCTCCATAAAGTAGGTCTCAAGGGGGGGTGCTAAGTTTTTACAAGTGAGAGATTGGGTATTGGTAAAAAGGGGGGGGGGAATGTGGCAAGAGATTGGCTATCAAGTTCCACTTTAAAGGGGGGCAAACTATAGAAAGTCACAAAGTATTTTGCATGCTAAGAATGCTTTATAAATTAATAAGCAACGCTAAATCATTCTGGGTGTTTCTGATCCCAGAAACTTTCACAGCAGTTGGAAGAGGAGGGGTGATGGAATCTGGCAGATGCACGGAAGGCTATTGAGTTTGTAAAAGGAAATCCCAGCAACTCGTGGAGTTTAAATGTAAGCCTAACAGTAAGCACCGCAATATTTTAACAAGACTATATTTCACTGTTTATTAATTCTTGTATCAATTACTGTGAGAGTTTATCCTACGGTAACGTTACAAGGAAAGGCAAGTCAAAAGTTTGCCAAAGAATTCTAGGCTGTCTATTTGTTTGCTGAGGGTTTTCTTCTTTCTTGTTCGTTTAGCAAGTGCACAATCAACGACAGTGGTGTACAGGGCCATCTTAACCATTGGCGCTAGAGGTGCACTGCACCTGGGCGCTGGGCTCTCAGGGGCGCCAGGCCGAGAGTCCGGGGCCGAGCGTTGGAGTCCGGGGAAGAGCTGCCGACAGTTGAGCAGAGCAGAGCAGAGCAGAGCCTGTTGAAGCACCATGGGCTTTTCTGCTGTGGGCAGCTCAGCGCTCCGACGGGCTCTGCTCTGCTCCGCTCAGCTGTCGGCTCTTGCCCCAGCTGCATGGTGGCTAACTGTTTCGGTGCTGCGCCCAGAGCGCTGTGTAACATTGTGGGTGCTGCGCGATGCATCCTGTTGCATGCGCCGAGCTGCGGGTTCCATTGCTGGCTTTTCCGCTGTCAGCACACACTCCCAGCACCGCCCAACGCGGGGTGCCAGTGCAGAACGACGGGGAATGCAAGCGGCAGCAGAGGGAACATCTCTGGATGGGATCCGCCACGTGCTGACAGTGCCGACGGCAGCGACAAATCCCGTTGCTTGGCGCTGTGAGTCCCTGTGCCCCGCAACCGTCTTAAAGGTAAACAACTTTGGGGGTTATCTCCCCCAGAAAAGGTAGACAACTCTGGGCAACCTAGGGGCGCTGGGCGGATCTTTGCACCCCGGGACCACATATGCTTAAGGCGGCCCTGGTGGTGTATCATGGGTTACCAGTGATCGGGGCAAGGAAGGTGACGTACAACTCCCAATGCCCCTAAACCACCACCAACTTAGCCCTGGGACCAGCAGCCGGGGGTGGGGGAGCACAGACAGACATATGAACTCCACCCACTTGGCAGAAGCAACACTGCTCCGTAGTGCCCGGTAGTGAAGGTTGTGCAGCCCAGGAGGAAAGGCACAAGAACTAGCAGAGGGTGCAGTAGGCCCCTGTGGTCTTCCCACCTCCTCTCCTGTCCCCCCAAAGGAAGCAGAGTCATGCCTGCCCCACCTGGAAACAGTTCCTATCAGGGCTGGGCGGCGTTGGCAGCAATGTTGGTGGGGAAGGGTCTTCTTAGCAGGGAGAGAGAAACTGATGTGCTTCCCCCCCCCCAAAAAAAATGTGCCTGGGGCAATTGCCCCTCTCACCCACACACACTACGCCACTGATCAATGATTCCCTGAAACACAAAAAGTCCCTTCTGCTAGAGAGAAATACTAGCGGCCTCAGATAACATTTTGCCCAGCAATCACACCTCTCTAGCATCGCTTCCTGCAGTAATGGTCCCTCTCCCTTTCATGGTCCACATTGGAAAGGGTCGACTTCAACCCATGGATTGGTCTCTGGCCCACCTACAGAGACGACATGGGTCATGCATTCTCCAAAACCAGGAGAATCCTTGATTTCAGTGCAAGGGTCACAAAGGAGGAGGAGGAGAAATTATGAGAACTTTGAAAGCTGTTGCTGCTGTTGCTGCTGCTGCGGCTGGGCAGCTTTATTTGCACTGGCTTGGCAAAGGACCTCAAGTCTCTTGCAGCCGTGTCAAAGTTTGGGGTCACTCCAGAAGCACAAGCTGGGAATTGGGGACTTCGAAGGAAGTGAGGGATGGGACAAAAAGCGCTGGGGCTCTTTAACAAGATTTGCTAACAGGTAGAGCCCAGCTTTAGGAATAGTGCAGCAATAAGGAATGGGTGTTGTGTGAAGGTTAGAAGTCATCAAGGCAGATTCCCAGCCAGCAAGGGCTTGGGAAACCATGATTGTCCAGACACAACCCAGTTTGCTGTAGCAGATGGTTATCCTTGAATCTACAGTGGGATGGGGAGGCCCCAACAGGATTTCTCCCAACGCCCACCAGTGAGTTTTAAAAGGCAAAGCACAGCTGGAAACAGCTGCCCCACCTGATGTTTATGCCAAATCTGACAACCTTGAGGCCGAACTGAACTGCTTAGACCAAAACTGTCCTGTCACACATATATCAGGAAGAAACTGGAAGAGCTGAGCTGCTCTGCTAGCTTTTTCACATCCGTGTCAAGAGAACTGGTATGAAGATGTGACTGAGATATTCTGAAAAAAAAAAATTTCTTTCTTTATTATAGTTTAATGAAGAAGGGTTTATTAAACTTGGGGAGAGTCCTGCTCCCCTGCTGCACACTGCTAAATATTCTTTCTTGTCTCTCGATAACATCTCAAAACCTGCTCAACCTTGAAATGCCACCATTGTCTGTACCGGTTTGGTGGCTTCAGCAAATCAGTAAGTTGCTCAGTCAAATGTTCCCTTCCCATGCCTGATTTCTGAACAGTACAGTGGTACCTCGGGTTAAGAACTGAATTCGTTCTGGAGGTCTGTTCTTAACCTGAAACTGTTCTTAACCTGAGGTACCACTTTAGCTAATGGGGCCTCCTGCTGCTGCCGCACCACGCAATTTCTGTTCTCATTGTAAAGCAATGTTCTTAACCCGACATACTATTTCTGGGTTAGCGAGTCTGCAACCTGAAGTGTCTGTAACCTGAAGCGTCTGTAACCCGAGGTACCACTGTAGTTTCATTCTGCACAGCTTTCTTGTCTATTTAGATTCTTCGAGTTTATAGAGAAAGAACTGTTTAGCAGCCGCTGCTGCTGCTGCTGCTGGAAAAAAAAAGTACAGAGCTGAACTTTTCTTGTTTCATGCTGATAGTTTGCAAAAGCTCTTTGCGAAAAGAAAAGGGAAAGGAGCAGAGCAGCTAGCAGAGCAACATGTGAGACTCAAAAGCCAAAGAAGATGACAAAGCAAAGGGAACTGGGGCAGAAAGGGTCAGGGAGGCCTGGTCAAACAGCGGAGTGCTGCCCTCTGGATGACTGGACTGTTTTTCTAGCTTGTTCCTTCTGGGTTTTGATGTATGAAAAGGAAAGTGAGTGGCGTAGAGGCTTTGCTTGGGAAAGATGCTAGAAGGGAGGGAGTGGAAGGGAGATGCAAAGGAGGAAGAGCCACACAGAAGCATAAGGTTGAAAAAGAGGACAGAACTAATGAGTAAAAGAGGCAGGAGGTTGCACTACCACCGGGGAGGGAGAGCTGTGGGCAGGGGATGCTTTGCCAGTCAGATCCATCGGCTCTTCCCCTCTTTTCACATGCTCAGAAGTGACAAGGGCTTCTGTAAATATTTAAAACATCCATCAGGGAATTGAGTCAGCAGAAGAACTGGATGCCCCCCAAGCCCCCCAAGGTGGAAAAAATGACACCATCATTTCTTAATACCAACAGGCTGACATCAGCATCCCTGGCAGGTGGCGATTGGCCATGCTGTCTGGCCAATGGAAGGACTCCCCCTTGGGCAGGAGGAGGGGGAGAGCCGGAGAGCCAAGAGTTTTTAAAAGTTGCAGGGAAAGCATCGCAGAGGCAGACACGCCGTGCACCAGGAAGGCACCAAAACACACACAGAGAGCAAACCGCGCAGAGGACAGCACGTGTGCAACATGTCTACGACACACTTCATCAGGGGCCCGGCCTATGGCATGTCAGCTGAAGTCAAGAATAAGGTAAGGACATCTACAGTGCCTGGTTTGGAGCGGTGTGTGTGTGTCCTAGCACTGAGAGTTGTGAGGTTCTTCATAATCTAATGGAGTGGGACTTCTGCCTGTTGCATTACAAATCTAATAACATCAGCACTGCGCAGGACAGCAGGGCATTTTGTTTCATGGTACCTACTCACTCAGAGAAGGGAATAGGGAGGATGCGACTACATGTCCAGGTAGGAGGGCAAAGGCAAGGAGGAAAACCACGCAAGGCTTCAGGAAACAGGCTGTGGGAGGTTTTGGAATGGACTAGCAGAAACAGACACCTAAATCGTTTTTAAGATGGCAACTCTGTTTTGTTTCTGTTCTCGGGGTTTTTGTTTGATGTGGTCTGTTTCTTTTCTTTAATCCCCCCAAATGGACATGGGGATGGGGGGGAAACAAGCACTCTGAAACAATGGTAATAAGTAATTAATTACAGGCTCTAAGCAAACTCAAATGATGACCTCTGGGACAATCCTGTTACCTGCAGAGGGTGGGATGAGTACCACAGATGATGGGCAATGGAGATCCATCAATTGCCAGGATGAACAATTCGGGCATCAAAGAGCCTCTCTTTCGTGTAGCACATTTCAAACCTTCCAAGTGCTTCACCCTCCCTCAGACTCTGCAGTCCTTGCGACAGCCCTGCTTACTAGGGCAGTACAATATTCCCCATGCTGAAGATGGAGGTGTTGAGGCAAGGAGAACAGCTGTTTGCCTATGGCTGCCTACTGTGTTTGGGACTGAAGTGAGATTTGAACCAGCCACAGCCCTACTCGCATTCTTAGCTGCTCCACTGCCTTCTTAAAGAACAGATGGGCTAGCTAGCTGTGGGGAACCTTTGGTCCTCCAGATGTTACTGAACTCCAACTCCCATCATCCCTGGCCTTTGGGCATGCTTGTTGGGGCTGATGGGAGTTGTAGTTCAGCAAACATCTAGAGGGCCAAAGGTTTCACACACCTGTGAAAGTGCGTGAAAGAAAGAAAGAGTGTGTGAAAGAAAGAGATTAGGACAGCTAAGATCAGCATAATTAACAACCTTAGATCATGGTTGTTTTTTTCCTTCTACCCATTTTACAGATGTGAAAGTGTTGGTAAGATAAAGACATTCACAGTCAAACAGGAATTTTTCACACGAAGGTTTTGAGTCTCTCTCATGCCTGGTTGTTGTTCACATAGAAGAGAAGCACTTGTAACCTGAGTTTTTGCTGCTACATGTGTGTTTGGAAACAAGTCCCATTGAATTAAATGAGGTCTGTTTCCAGGTAAATGGGCATAGGATTGTAGCCTCCGTTTCACATTTGAAAATGCCCACTCCAATCCCCTGGTCTGGCACCATCTAAACCACTCATGACAAAAGCCTATCACAGCAGCCATGCTGGGAAGAACTTGCAGGAACACCTTCTCCAGAGGTCCCTCTTTACCAATGACAGTTTCTAGATTTTGGAATCTGCCTTTGGCAAAACACTTTTTCCATTTTCTCTCCTTGCGGGGTGGGTGGGAGCAAAACATAGTGGGACTTAATCCAAAATAAAGAAATAAAATTGTGAAAAATTAACAAGCATATTGTAAAACACACTGAAGTTAAAATACTAAAGCAGATTAAAATCACCTCAGCTTTCTAAGCACCAGGGGAGGCTTGTCTAAACAAGAGGGTTTTTAGCAGGTGCCGAAAACTGTACAGTGGTACCTCAGGTTAAGTACTTAATTCATTCCGGAGGTCTGTTCTTAACCTGAAACTGTTCTTAACCTGAAGCACCACTTTAGCTAATGGGGCTTCCTGCTGCTGCTGCCGCACCACCAATGCGCGATTTCTGTTCTCATCCTGAAGCAAAGTTCTTAACCCGAGGTACTATTTCTGGGTTAGTGAAGTCTGTAACCTGAAGCATATGTAACCTGAAGCGTATGTAACCCAAGGTACCACTGTACAGTGAAGATCCCTGCTTGATCTCAATAGGCAGGGAGTTCCAAACTGCCACACTAAATGCCCGAGTCTTTACAAATGCGGAAAATGGGTATTATGTGGCACCTTCAGTAGTGCCAATTCATATGACAAAAGAGAGGTTTTTATGGCTGGTTTACTTTGGGCTTGTGATGCCTGCTGCTCCTCACCCTTAATGTATCTTTAAGGCCCCTTCCCCACAAATATTCTGTCTGAGGGCCTGGATCAGACCAGTTAATGCTTGGGGAGGGATTCTCTTTCAACAACGGCATCCTGTGTGTTTTAGGCCTGTCAGAGACCAGGAGGTTCAGCCTGAGACAAACGGTTCTGCCATACTGTGAGCTGACCAGCAGGTGGTCACAGAGCTATTATTATTATTATTATTATTATTATTATTAGCCATCCATCAGAGTTTTCCCAGCCACTCTGGGCGGCTTCCAGCAAAATATTAAAAACACAACAAAACATCTATCCTTAGAAACTTCCCTATACAGAGCTGTCTTTAGATGTCTTCTAAAAGTTGTGCAGTTATTCATCTCCTTGACAACTACTGGGAGGGCGTTCCACAGGGCGGGCGCCACTACCGAGAAGGCCCTCTGCCTGGTTCCCCGAAACTTCGCTTCTCGCGGTGAGGGAACTGCCAGAAGGACCACGGAGCTGGACCTCAGTATCCAGGCTGAAAGATGGGAGCGGATACGCTCCTCAGGGTATAGACTTGAGGTGTGTTAGCCGTCGGGAGGATGACTCTTCTCCAGAGGCAGAAAGAGGCAGCCACTTCAGGTGACAGGCCTAGGGTACCACTAAGGGGGACGGAATGGGGAACAGGCCATGTTGGGCCGCTGCTTTCGTTGAGTGCTTTAACTGTGGTTTTTAAAGAAAGTCATGGGAGCATGTTTGATTAAAAGAGGGAAACTAGGAATGGGGCTTGTGGGTTTTGTGAGGGCCCCCCACCTGTTCTTCATAATTCTGCATGAGGCAAAATCCAGCAGGAGGGTTCTCCTGTGCAAGGTTAGCAAAACTGAATGCACACAGTGTCTGTTCATTTTAAGAAGGCTTATGCAGAAGCACTTTCCACTAGATTGTGCCCCTGCCCCATGTTAATCAGTGGGGAGGGGATGCCATTCAGATTTTACATCTCAGTCATCGAAATGCTATGAGTTAGAAAGTATGGACCCTGGTACTCTGAAAGATTAACTCAGGAAGTCAAGGCATTGGCTGGAAAAGGAGAAGAGGATAACTGTACAGTGGTACCTCAGGTTATATACGCTTCAGGTTACATATGCTTCAGGTTACAGACTCCGCTACCCCAGAAATAGTACCTCGGGTTAAGAACTTTGCTTCAGGATGAGAACAGAAATCGTGCTCTGGCGGCGCGGCGGCAGCAGGCGGCCCCATTAGCTAAAGTGGTGCTTCAGGTTAAGAACAGTTTCAGGTTAAGAACAGACCTCCGGAACGAATTAAGTACTTAACCTGAGGTACCACTGTATTGCGACATGGCCATCCTTTTCTTACACATGCAACGGACCGTCATTCACAATGGCACTTGCACCTGACACTTTGGAGCAACGTTTTCCCATAAGGAACCTATGTTTGGATGGTGGTTTGGGTGGGAAGGGAGTAGCGTTGGATGTGGAGGTTGTTCTTCCATGTTATTTTAAAAAATCAATAAAATACATTTAAAAATAAAAAGCCATGGGCATCTCTGTCCCTAGCAGAGGCAGCTGTGTCATGGCTTGGCAAGGATTGTACTACCTGCTAATCAGTGAAGTGGATTGGCTCTCTGCTCACCACGGGCCTTTCAGTATCCTACAGCTTTAGGGGTGGTGCTTTATGTATGGAATCTTCCTTTTATTCCCATAAGCTTAGCTCGTTTCTTGTTTCTAGCTGTGTTAAAGACTGCCAGTCTCAGGGCCAGGCCAGATTTTGCAGCAGGGAATTTTTAAGGGGCACCCGTCCGTGAGATACAAATGGTGCCTTTGCAAGTTTGAGATGCTGTTTTGTGACTCAAGAATTGCCTCCTGGCACCCTCATAGTTTGCATGCAAAGGATTCTAGGTTCAGACCCTGGCATCTCCAGGTAGGGCTGTGAAAGACTCCTGTCTGAAACTGCAGGATCGCTGCCGGTGCCGAGCTAGATGGACTGATGCGTTTAAGGGAGCTTCATATTTTCCTCAAATGTATGGGGCTAAGCCCCGATTGATTGGCGAATACAGACCTTCCTATCCATTCGCTTTTTCTCCTTGCACCCTCCATCTTCCAGGGCTCACCAGAGCACTGGCTCCAGCAAAAGGCCAGTCTCTCCCCGCCCCCGCCCCCCCCCGCTTCCCTCCACAGCTAAATTCTTCAGCTACCGTCTTGGACTGCACTTTGCACTCTGCCGCAGAAGTCTGGGCAGCAACAGACTCACCATATATGGTCAGTTTTGGGGTTTCTTCGTAGGCTGGTTCTATATAAGGCATAGTTTGGCAGGGTGTGCATCTGGCGAGCGGCAGGATGTCTGCCCCGAGACCCCAGGTGAGGGAGACCACCACCACTGCCATAAACACGCACCCCAACAAACACATTCCTCAGGCAGAGGGATCTCCTCCACAGCCACCAGAATCGAAAGTTCTTTTGGAACAGTGAGGATTGTGATACAAGAACAAACTTCCCTGCAGGATGGGAATTACCTGTTAAGGAGAAGTTGGGAGACAGGCTGTCCAGGATTTGGCAGGCAAGCTCCTGCAAACCATCAGCGGTTTCCTACAAAATATAGAGTTACAGTTCCTCTGTCCTAGCAGAGGGACAACAGAGAGAGCCACAGTTCTTCAAATATTAGGGAGGGAACTCAGTTACCATTTGCTGGAAAGCCATGGATGAGAAAACAAAGCTCTTGACTGTTGGGAAGTAAGCATTTTCAGCACAGTACCTCCCTCTAGTGAGACAATTGGCATCCTAAGCATGCGTTGTGCATCTTCCAACTGATACGGGGAGTCTGCAAACAAAGTTTTGAGTTGCACAGAACTCTTCCAGCAGAATGGTGACCATTGGTGAGCTGCAGAGAGCAAACTTGGTTACAAAAGCAAATACAGTGGTACCTCGGGTTAAGTACTTAATTCATTCCGGAGGTCCGTTCTTAACCTGAAACTGTTCTTAACCTGAAGCATCACTTTAGCTAATGGGGCCTCCTGCTGCTGCCACACCGCTGGAACACTATTTCTGTTCTCATCCTGAAGCAAAGTTCTTAACCTGAAGCACTATTTCTGGGTTAGCAGAGTCCGTAACCTGAAGCGTATGTAACCTGAAGCATATGTAACCCGAGGTACCACTGTATTTTTAGTTTTCCTCCCACTTAAATAGAAACTCTTGCAGTATGGGTGGGAACTAGATGTGGGGAGAGTAAATCTAGTTTTGTAAACAAGAGGGCACACCTAACTTGCCACCAGTACAAGTGAAAAGGATCTAGGGGTCTTGGTAGACCACAGAGCTTAGTGTGATGAGTCAACAGTGTGATGCAGCGGCACAAAAAGCTATTTCTATTCTAGGCTGCATCAACACACATATAGCATCCAGAGTGAGGGAAATAATAGTACCTCTCTATTCTGCCTTTGTCAGACCACATCTGGAGTACTGAGTCCAGTTCTGGGCATCACAGTTTAAGAAGGGTATTGACACGCTGGAACGTGTGCAGAGGAGGGCGACCAAGATGATCAAGGGTCTGGAAGCCAAGCCTTATGAGGAATGGTTGAGGGAGTTGGGTATGTTTAGCCTAGAAAAGAAGAGACTGAGAGGAGAGGCTAGGACCTGAACAAAGTGAGTAGCCTTCCCAGTAGGATATCAGACAGGGGATCCACGTGATTCTTATTTGGGGGGTCCAATTGGGGATTGTAATGCACAGAGAGCCCCTGTGTTGGAATGTGAGCATAGGATTGCTGGGGAGTACAGAGTAGTTCTGGTGCTCAGGTGGAAAGCAAGAGACCTCTATCTGCCAGGGAGGTAAGAGTTGTACCCACATTCCTCCCTTAAGGAGATAGGGAAGAATGTTTCATTCTGCATAGAGAGACACCATAGGAAGCTGCTCTTCAAACCGGAGGGCCAGAACAAGGTGATGTCTTCACAACCAGTGTGAAGAACCCAGTATCATTGGAATAAACATTAGATTAATGACATGATAAGGAAGTTAGAATAGGGGTTTTACCCTGGCCAAACTGGCAACCTAAAATGGGACATATTTACTGAGAAACTTCCAGTTCCTGAAAGAAGCCCCAAGCATAGCCTGGAATTTGTTAGGGGGCAGGGAGCTACTGGCATAAATTGTATGGAGTGGTGTTAATTCATAATACAACCGCAGACTCGAATCCCTGTCTTCTGTCCCACCAGACCCAATTCACTAGAAGCACAAAACTTACCTTCTTTGCCCATATTGCAAGCTCATATTGCCTGCTCTCATACCCAAGTCCTCATAACACAATACACCCATTTAACTGAACATGGTGTGTCCCTGGGAAACACAAGGCTTGAGAGCTACCATGGCACTCTGTCTGGGAAGCATGGAGAAACTTTTTCCAAAGCAAAATTCACATTGCTCTGGGCATAACAAACTACAGCTATTTGCTTGTTTCTGTGAAACTGTGCACAGAGATTGTCCCATCCTGATTTGCCTTCTTGTGTTGGAAGCAGAGATTAACACACAGAGTAATCCGTGACAGTGGATTCCTGTAAAGACAGTGTCCCATGAACATCATATGATAGCTTCAGATTTCTAAGCACAAAGAGCCAGAAAGCTGCACAAGCTTTTGTCTTCACTTCTTCAAATGCAGCCCCACAAGCCCAAAGGATACAAACTAGCCCATTACTTTTCATATTCTTTTAAGTGTGTGTGTGTGTGTGTGTTTGACAGAAAGCAAATATGGTTTTCGCAGGGAGGGTACTGGATTCGAGAGTACCCAGTAGCGCCTCAAGTCCCAATCCTTGCTCTGCTATGAAGTTTATTACTGAGCGACCTTGAACCAGTCAGTCAGTTTCTCTCAGCCTAACCCACCTCACAGGGTTGTTGTAAAGATAAAATAGGGAATAGGGATAAAATAGGGAAACCACATGCAGTAATTTCCCCAGAGGAAGGAATAAGATACAGATATGACAAATGCCTTCAAATGCAACTTTTTTAAAAGGGTATGTTTTTGCTAGAGTTTTAGTCATAAGAAAACGGGAAACTAGAATAGCACGCTTGCATCTTGCAAAGAGATTCTTAACTGCCATATAGAATTAAACATGCAAATTACTGTTCTGTGTTATGCTATATATATACACAGTGGTACCTCAGGTTAAGTACTTAATTCGTTCCAGAGGTCCGTACTTAACCTGAAACTGTTCTTAACCTGAAGCACCACTTTAGCTAATGGGGCCTCCTGCTGCCGCCGTGCCACCAGAGCACAATTTCTGTTCTCATCCTGAAGCAAAGTTCTTAACCTGAAGCACTATTTCTGGGTTAGCGGAGTCTGTAACCTGAAGCGTATGTAACCTGAAGCGTATGTAACCCGAGGTACCACTGTACTGTTCTGGGTGATATGTACTACAGCTGTCAGCTCATATTTAGGCAGCCTTTCTGGTAAGCTTTCTGTGATCCCAAATAAAAAAATTCTCAGTGTTCCCTCTGAAATCCATAACAGTGGATAATAAACAACAACACATCCACAAGGGAATGTGGGGAGAAAGGGATGAAAAGACAAGCGGAAAAAAGGACAAATGAGGAGACGACACAAAAGGCCCTGTACTCTTGCATCTGATGCTTAGCTCTCACTGAAGTGGTAAAAATCCAGCAGCTGCTATAATGAAGGCTGGTCAAGGCAAATTCTGATTGCAAATTAATGCAATTACTTCCCTTCATTCGTGTGCATTCCTGCTTCTGCTGCGTTGTCAATACCAGGTCTGATGGTTGCATCCAAGTTATGTAGTCCAAGCACTTGCTTCAAAGTTTCCTGGACAGAAGTGGGCCTGGCTAGCAGATATAGTACAGAGCCTAGCAATCAAAATATTTCCAAGGAGTTCCTGTTAGAATCCTAGCCCATTCTCATCAGAACCAATAAGCATTCCGCAAACCAGCTCAAATTAATCAGATTGCAAAGAAGCAGAAACTGAGAAAAGAACCTTCTAAGCCAGGGGTCAGCAAACTTTTTCAGCAGGGGGCTGGTCCACTGTTCCTCAGACCTTGTGGGGGGCCAGACTATATATTTGGGGGGGGGGGGAATGAACGAGTTCCTATGCTCCGCAAATAACCCAGAGATGTATTTTAAATAAAATCACACATTCTACTCATGTAAAAACATGCTGATTCCCGGACCGTCTGCAGGCCGGATTTAGAAGGCGATTGGGCCGGATCCGGCCCCTGGGCCTTAGTTTGCCTACCCATGTTCTAAGCATCTATTACATGTGCAGCTCAAGTAAGCCACCCTAACCATACAAGACTGGCTGCTCAGTGTAATTTTTCCTCTTTTCTTCTCTTAGCTCTGGGATGTCGGCATGGGCGTAGCCAGTATTTTTGTTGGGGGGGGGGAGAGCAGGCCTTTTTTGGGGTGGGGGCAGAATCTCAGTTAGCTATGTATTTTTATTGATTTTTATTGAAGGGGGGCTGCTGTCTCTCCCTGGCCAACCTTGGGCTATGCCCATGGGCGTAGGGGTGAAATTAGATTTTATTTCAGCTTCCACTGAAATAAAGATCCAGTTTGCCCCTCTGCATGTGCATTTGTGTACACACACAGGTTGTGAGTCTCAATGACGCCCCTCTGGAGGCTTCACACAGGGCAAAAGCCTCAGCTTCCCCCTCCTGTAGCGATGGTGCTGCTGTGATGCTCCTAAGTTCCTATGACAAAAAAATCTGATCACCTCTCTAAACAAAGGACATAATGTGCTTTGTCCCATTAGCTTTCAGTTAGTGCCCAAACTGATTGGCGGCAGTTCCAGACTATTATAATTTTCACTATTTTGGGGTGGGATTCAATCACCCACTGGAAAATTCAGGTTGGCGCTTTTACCCAACAAATGTGCCTCTCTAAAAGATTGGACTGTTTGCAATAAGGAAACTGACAGGAAAGTGTGGGTAACACTTGCTTTGATGTGACACGGTCTAGCCTCTTTGCTAACGTATCAGCCTGAATGCTCACTAAATGGTCAACATTGCCTAACCTCCCTGCAAACATGTCTGAGTCAATGCTCAGTAAACAGGTCACATGAAAGCACCCTCAGCCTCTTGAAGGTTGCTAGTACCTTCAAGGACACGGGTGGTGCTGTGGTCTAAACCACTGAGCCTCTTGGGCTTGCCGATCGGAAGGTTGGCGGTTCGAAGCACCACGACGGAGTGAGCTCCTGTTGCTCTGTCCCAGCTCCTGCCAACCTAGCAGTTCGAAAGCATGCCAGTGCAATTAGATAAATAGGTACCACTGTGGCGGGAAGGTAAACAGCATTTCCGTGCACTCTGACTAGGAAGGGGTGTTTCTTTGAATAAAGGGTTAACTTCAATATCTGTAGGTTTTATGATGGGCAGTGCCCCACCAACTTCAGCCTGCTCTCTGCCAGCTCCCATCTGCCTCCGTTCTCACTTGGAACTGGTCCAAGGGATGACAGCTACCTGTCGGCTTCTCCTCCTTAGTCTCAAGTGTTTTCCGGGTATCAAGAGAGGAGGATGGGAGCAAGACTAGAATTAGTTGGCTCTGCCTACTATTGGGCACCAGGCCCAATGGAACACCAGCCACCACTAGCTGTTCTAATGTGGGCTGCGCATTCACTAACCTCATGATCATAGGATAGTGTTGCCATATTTCAAAATGTGAAAAGTTTTTGAGCAAAATTTGGCAAAAATGACGCTGCCGACATGGGTTGCCATATGTACTGTTTTCCCCCAGACATTTTTCCGATTTCTGTCCGGACACTACTTCCAACTGCAGTATTCCAGGTATGTCCAGGTAATTCTGGAAATATGGCAACCCTATAGTAGGAGCCAACTCCTAGGTGGATGGGCATTGCCATTCAAATGGTGTGTGTGCCCTGTGTCATGTGATCAATCACGTGAGGCAGGGCTTACCTGGGCCCCCCAATATTTTATTCCAGTTGGCACCCCTGCCCATGGTGTTCACTTATTTTTATGGTATCGATATCACAATTACTCGTGTACACATCAGTCTGTTGAATGGACATGGAGGCTTTAAGTTTCCCCACAAATTGTAATTTAAGAAAACCCAGTGTCCACACAATGCTGGTCATGCAGTTCAGTATGGGCAACATTACAAATGACATTACATTGTTGGTACTCCTTGTTCCACCTGGGTTACCTGCCATTACATCAGAACGCTACCTATGTGATATAGCTTGAAGAACACTACAGTCTCATCTGTGCCTACAGAACAAAGAACTCCCGCTGACTCACACAAGTGAGTCAGTTAAGCCACTTCTCACGGGCGGAAAAATCAGAATGCTTGGCAATGCTTTTTAACCTTTTTTCTTATTTGTTTTGCAAACAGCTAGCTGTAGGGTTTTAAGCTGCGTACAGCGGGGGGAAGCATTAACCAAAATGGCCAGACATGATGCTTTAGAGTTCCAAACCAAATATGAAAACAGTGTTCAGAAGAGCTCAGTGAAGGGGCTTATCAATATTGGGAAAGGTCCCCCCCCAGAAAAAAAAACACACACACACCTCACTTGCATTATTTTAGGCACTGGTTGCAAACATAACAATCAGCTTGCGGCTTTTGAGTTATGTTTCAGTAAGGCTTAGCCCCCAAGAAGATAAAACAAATAAATAGGGAATCTTAACATCACTTCTAACACATAGTGTTTAGCCAAATGTCCACACAAAAGTCCTGCTCAGCCCACTATGTCTTTGAAACATCCCAGCAGAGGGATAAATCCTTGTGGATCTGGGACGGACACATCCCCCATTTTTCTCCCAAGTTTGGTGAATTCCTCCTAGAGGGGACACAGCCTGTTTGGGTTGGCAGAGCTCCCTGGCACTAGCTGAAGGTATGAGGCTGCCTCACGTCCAGAGAGAGGACCCAAGGAATGCTCTCTCTCTCAGCTGCAGCCTGGGCTGCCAAGTACCAAGAATGGAGAGGAGCAATGCTATCAGAGCACCTCTGAGATCCAACGCAGGCAGTCCGTTTACAAAACTGAGCAGCCTGCTTGCCATGAATGCAAAAGCTGCTCCTGTGGCCCACCCTACGTCACTACTGAACTACAGCTCCCATAATCCTTGACCATTGGCCATGCTGTCTGGGGCTGATGGGAATTGGAAACATGTGAAGGTCCACTTTTGTTTGTCACCCCTGGTCTAGGTGCTCAGACTCCTAATGGCAAAGGCATGGTTCTGGGACCAAGGATGAGGGCATGGAATCAGTAGTACCTCTGGTTTATAAATTCCTTTCTGGATACATTGCCAGGAGATTAGGCTGACATTCCAGCCCTGATCTCTCTGTTAAATTCTTCCTCTGACTCACTGCATGTCCTCAAAAGTCTTTCTCTTCTCTCTCTCAGAGTGCATTCTTCTTCACCTTTTAACTAATCACATTGGATTCTACCACCAAAGGAGCTACTTTACATCTGCTTTGCTCTGGACTTTAATCGTTTTCATTTGCTCCCTAATGAATTAGTTCTGTTTATGGTGTTAATAAGAATTCTAAGGTCATAAATAAAATGTTCATAAGCAATGCTATTTTTCTAGAAAAAGAGGTGCTGGAACTCACCATGGTGGAATCTACACACATATTTAAAAAATGCTGTGAAAATACTTTTTTTAAAAAAACATTTTGAAAAATGCATTGAATTTGTCATAGCTCACAGTTGCCATCTAGTGTCTCATTTGTATATTGCACTTTACAACACATTTTAAACATTTATTTGCACTAAACCACTGAGCCTTGGGCTTGCTGATCAAAAAGGTCGGCGATTCGAATCCCTGCAACGGGGTGAGCTCACGTTACTCTGCGGACAAACACTGGCTCCCTTGGCCAGTAAAGTGAGATGAGCACCGCAACCCCAGAGTCATTCACGACTGGACTTAACTGTCAGGGGTCCTTTACCTTTTTTAGCTGAGTCCTTAGAATGCCTCCCTCATTCTCTTAGAATGGCAATTGCACCCACCTGAGAGGTGCCAGAAATGAGTTCCGGTGAGTTCTGGCTGAAAAAAAGCCCTGTTCATTAGTGCACAAGGTAAACACACATACTTAAGTACATAAACCACATGTCTGAAACAGTGCAAGAGAGCAATCCCGAAACCACTCTCTTAAATGATCCTAAATATTGTCTCTGCAGTTGAAGGACATATCTTGGAAAAACGCTTTCCAATAGTTCTTTTCAATTACAAGTCCTTCAAATCCAGTCAAAAGAGCGTATTTTGTGTATGAATAGGGGAGGTCTGGGACAATGGCTTCAGGAATTACATTATTTGCCATTTCAAAAAAATGGCCCAGACAGGCTAGAACAAGGCAATCAGCACACATTATTATCCACACTCTCAAATTTCTGTTGTAGATTAGGGGTAGGCAACCTAAGGCCTGGGGGCTGGATCCGGCCCAATCGCCTTCTCAATCTGGCCCGTGGACAGTCTGGGAATCAGCATGTTTTTACATGAGTAGAATGTGTGCTTTTATTTAAAATGCATCTTTGGGTTATTTGTGGGGCATAGGCATTCACTCGGTTTCCCCCCCTCCAAAATATAGTCCTGCCCCCTCCCCACATGGTCTGAGGGACAGTGGACCAGCCCACGGCTGAAAAAGGTTGCTGACCCTTGTTGTAGACAATCTCTTTCTGTGATGCTTTTGGGTGGCCTTTGGGCTTTGGCTAAGAGATCAGGCAATTTCTAAAGTCTTTAAAAACCGCTACACGCTTTTGTTGTGGGTCCTCCTCACCTCCTTGCAAGCGGTGGGTGGGGGGGGGGGCGGTCCTGTTGAAACAGGAAAAGGAAGATCTGCCTTGCTTTGACTGGTTCCTTCATCCATCCACTCTTCTCTTTTGTAAATATAATTTTATTTATCATTTCCCATTTTACAACAAAACATACAAATAAACAAAACCTGAGGAAGAACACATGGGAGGGGGAGAGTCAATCAGTGACAGGCAGGAGGCCTATGTTTTCCATCAGTATCTCTACAACAACGAAAGTCAGATATAAGGACTGGATGTTTTTAATTGGATGTGCAAATTTAGATTTGTGATTAAATTGTAAAATGCGAAATAGAAAAATATTTTTTTAAAAAACAGCAAATTACACATAAGATTCTCAGGCTGCATTTGCACGTATCTTTTAACAGCTATACTATATATATATTAGATATTTAATGGCTGGATGGCCATCTGCCATGGATGCTTTCATTGATATTCCTGCATTGCCACAGGATTCTTACACAAAATCCCACATAATAATCATCATAATAATAATAATACAGTGGTACCTCGGGTTGAGTACTTAGTTCGTACCGGAGGTCCGTTCTTAACCTGAAACTGTTCTTAACCTGAAGCACCACTTTAGCTAATGGGGCCTCCTGCTGCTGCTGCGCCTCCGGAGCATGATTTCTGTTCTCATCCTGAAGCAAAATTCTTAACCTGAAGCACTATTTCTGGGTTAGCGGAGTCTGTAACCTGAAGCATATGTAACCTGAAGCATATGTAACTTGAGGTACCACTGTAATAATAATAATAATAATAATACATTTATTATTTATACCCCGCCCATCTGGCTGGGTCTCCCCAGCCACTCTGGGCGGCTTCCAAAAAAGTATTAAAATACAGTAGTCCGTTAAACATTAAAAGCTTCCCTAAAGAGGGCTGCCTTCAGATGTCTTCTAAAAGTCTGGTAGTTGTTCTTCTCTTTGACATCTGGTGGGAGGGCGTTCCACAGGGCGGGCGCCACTACCGAGAAGGCCCTCTGCCTGCTTCCCTGTAACTTGGCTTCTCGCAGTGAGGGAACTGCCAGAAGGCCCTCGGCGCTGGACCTCAGTGTCTGGGCTGAACGATGGGGGTGGAGACGCTCCTTCAGGTATACTGGACCGAGGCCATTTAGGGCTTTAAAGGTCAGCACCAACCCTTGTTCCTATTTCTGTCAAGCATTGCATCCTGCGCTCAACCATACAGCCAGCTTATGAGGGAAAATCTAGAGGCAGTGAAACAGCAGCAGGTTGGGAGAGTCCTATAGCCTGCAGAAATCCCCACAAAATTCAAAGCAAATCTCTCCAGCCTTTGCAGCAACCGGCCAGGAGCATGGGATGAGAGCCATCAGAACAGAATGTTGTCAGAGGCTCAGAGTCCTGCCAGCTTTAGAAGGGCTTAGGAAATACTGTATTAGATTTTCCTTATTGGATTGCTGTATTAGAATGAGCTGTTCCCCAAATCAAAATCTTAGTGGAACGCATTGTGGATCGCTGCTTCTTTGGCTGGCTTTGATCAGATTACGTCATAGGAATGCTTACCCTGAAGTCATTGTGGGTTTTGTTGTTGTTTCAAAGTAACCTACAGCAGCTGCAGGAAGCTGCAATCTCGATCAAAAATTCACAAAGGGCTTTTCTAATACAAATCCTGCCCCTTTCTCCCCACTGAATTAAACCCAGCGAGAAGGAAAATACAGGCATTTGAAACTTCACCCCACTATGTGCCAAAAAGAAGCTCAGAGAAGATTTTGAGCAGCGGGAAAGCCTAGCGGGAAAGAGAGAAGCACTCGCTTGTTACATCTGGATATATAACCCAGGTTGCTCTTCCTCAGTTTCTTGGGGTTTAAGATGGACCAAACCAAACTGATACAATCTATATTGTGACAGGTGAAGCCTTTGCCACTGTTTGGACAAGTTGGGGCTTATCCACACTTAGCTCTTGTTATGTACTGAGTTGAATAGGATCCAAAAGGCAGCAGTCTGATTGGTCCTAGAACAATAGGATTCAGAATGCAGCAGTCTGATTGGTCCTAGAACAATAGGACCCAGAATGCAGCAGTCTGATTGGTCCACAGAAGCCACCTAATCCAGCTCCAGGTGGAAGTGAATCCGCAACCTGATTGGCCTACAGGAGAATCCCGGAATTAGCCAATCACGTGGGGCCCATTGTGTAATAATATATAGTGGTACCTCAGGTTAAGTACTTAATTCGTCCCAGAGGTCCGTACTTAACGTGAAACTGTTCTTAACCTGCAGCACCACTTTAGCTAATGGGGCCTCCTGCTGCCGCCGGAGCACGATTTCTGTTCTCATCCTGAAGCAAAGTTCTTAACCCGAGGTAATATTTCTGGGTTAGCGGAGTCTGTAACCAGAAGCGTATGTAACCCAAGGTACCACTGTATATAAAGCAGACATTCTGGGGTAACTTCCATTCCTCCTCACCACTATGAGCTGAATAAAGAGCATGAAATCCACTCTCAACTCTGAGTATATTTCAGCTCTCCTCTCACTGTTCTCTCTCTCTCTCTCTCTCTCTCTCTCTCTCTCTCTCTCCCTCTCTCCCTCTCTCCCTCTCCCTCTCCCTCCCTCCCTCCCCCACGCACCCCAGGGGAAAATCACTCTATCACTCAATCGGAACAAACAACAATTTGGTTTCCCCCAGACTAACCCTGCCAAGAAAGCTTGGGTCAAGCGCAAAACTGCTCAGAACCGTGTTTTCTAGGCACAGCACAAGTGATGAGCCCTTGGTGTGATGATTGAAAGATGATTTCATGATAACCATGAAATAGGGTTCATATTCTAAGGGGAAGGGATTTAAAGCTCACCCAGCCTCCAAAGAAGGAACAGTGTGGGTTTGGTGGAGGACTTGAAAACTGTGTGGGAAGAGACCCCAAAAGACAAGAGGAGCTGAGGGCCAGAAGCACCCTATCTAGCGTAACTAAAAGAAGGATGTAGAGTCAGCACAGTAGATTGAGAGGGCTTCCTAATGGGGGCCTTATATCACAAATAGGTCATAAAGACTTTATTTTTCTGCATGCAGATTTGGTACATTAGGTAAAGGTAAAGGGACCCCTGACCGTTAGGTCCAGTTGCGGATGACTCTGGGGTTGCGACGCTCATCTCGCTTTACTGGCCGAGGGAGTCGGCATACAGCATCTGGGATATGTAGCCAACATGACTAAGCCGCTTCTGGTGAACCAGAGCAGCACACGGAAATGTCGTTTACTTTCCCACCAGAGCGGTACCTATTTATCTACTTGCACTGGTGTGCTTTCGAACTGCTAGGTGGGCAAGAGCTGGGACCAAGCAACGGAAGCTCACCCCATCGCAGGGATTCAAACCGCCAACCTCCTGATTGGCAAGCCCAAGGCTCAGTGGTTTAGACCACAGCGCCACCCGTGTCCCTTATTTGGTACATTAGCTTCCACAAATTCCTGATTTCGGTTTTTTTTAGCAGAGGGAGGATTGCCTTCCCTTGGACCATCCTTTGGAATCCGTTTTGGGGCCAGGTGGAGAAACTGCGTGGGACGCAGGTGGTGCTGTGGGTTAAACCACAGAGCCTAGGACTTGCCAATCAGAAGGTCGGCAGTTTGAATCCCCACAATGGGGTGAGCTCCCGTTGCTCGGTCCCAGCTCCTGCCAACCTAGCAGTTCGAAAGCACATCACAGTGCAAGTAGATAAATAGGTACCGCTCCGGCGGGAAGGTAAACGGTGTTTCCGTGCGCTGCTCTGGTTCACCAGAAGCGGCTTAGTCATGCTGGCCACATGACCCGGAAGCTGTATGCCGGCTCCCTCGGCCAATAAAGCGAGATGAGCGCCGCAACCCCAGAGTCGGTCACGACTGGACCTAATGGTCAGGGGTCTCTTTACCTTTACCTTAGAGAAAGTGCATGAGATTTCTCCATGTGCTGTTGCCAGACTGAAGCAGGGATGAGACCTGTGATCCTGCCTGCTCTGGGAGATTCATTTTTTAAATAAAAAAACCTACAGGGGCAGCACAGATGACTGTCACTGCAGCGGTTTTAGGTTTTAATGGCTTAATCGTCTGGCTTCTTGAGCTGGCAGAGAATGGCTGAAATATCGTCATGGATTTTTTCACAAACCAGCAGATCATAAACTCCTCGAAGCTTTCTCCTGTCACTCAGGCAGCACACTCCCATGGGGCCAGTAGAATCCAAGACCCTAGTTGCTTTGGGGGGCTGAAAAAGCCCTTAGAAGGAATGCCAGGACCTGGTTTGCAAGCACATTTCCAAATAAAGAGGCAAGCTGGCGCCAAGGTTGCTTTTCCCAGAGGTACATAAAAACCCAAATACTGGTGACTCGTTGTTCGCCATGGTCGGTATAAGTTTCCACAGCATTAACATACAGTCCAACAGAGATGAAAATAGAGATATTCAGATCAGGTAATATCCGCTATCAATGATCACTTTCAGAGCATCCTCCTGTCGGACACCACTCCACGTTGCTGCAAGCTCTGCTCGGCTTGCTGAACACTATATTCATTAGGTCTGCAACAGTTTGTTCTATGTTGCTTTCAGAAACAGAATCTGTTGTTGACAAACTTACCATTAACTTTTAAAAAAAAAGTTTGATGGACTTTGCAGCCTTATCTGTACATGCTTGCTTTGAGGTGTGCACAGAACCAAAGCCTTTGGTGGAATAGGCATTGTCACCCTCCTCACATTCCATGATAAGATAACCATGGTTGCAATCTTACGCACACATCGTTGGGACAATATTTTGCCAGGGGTGGGTAGCAGAAAATCAGGATATTGGCCAGGTTTGTACATCGCAAGAAGTCAGGTTTGTCTTAAAATGTGGTTTGCTCATGAACATGCTCCCGGTATCCCATCCTGGCACATCTCAAAGAAGCTATATTATGCCTTGCCTTGTTTCAACCCACTATGATCAGCAAGCCAGAATTAAACCTTGGTTTTCTTTGAAACAAACACTCCGACTGGAGAGAGCCAAGCTCACAAGGGGCAGAATAGAGACCTATGTGGTAGGAGGGCAGCAGAGAGGAGCAAATCCATTCCTATCAAACCATGGTTTAAGACAAATTTTGACTTGTTATGTCTAGATCTGGTCTTTGACAGCTTGCAATCAAAACTAGTAAGAAAATTAAAAGAGCCCTTTCTTAATTCCAGTTCCACGTCTTGGTCGGGGCGGGTTTGCCCTATTTCACCACCTGCAGTGAAATTAAAAGGTGCTGCTGTGCTACCCCCGCTGAAGCCTCCCTTACCTGAGTTGCATGCTGGCGCCTGTGAAGCAGCAGTGGCAGGTTCCAGTGAGAACTTGTGGAGCCCTCTTGAGATATCACAAGATTTGAGCAAGATCTTGTGACATCTTGCCAGTGCCACTTCTCTGTTCGTGGTGTGGGCCTGTAAGGGCACCGCGTTTTTGGACTTCCACCATTGGCCTTGTCCTGGTTCCACATATGTTACCATTAAACACCCCTGAAAATTACAGTGGAACCTTGGGTTGCGAACGTGATCCGTGTGGGAGGCACGATCGCAACCCGCAGTGCTGCGTCTGCGTATGCACATGATGCGATTCGGCATTTCTGCGCATACGTGAGCGCCGAAACCCAGAAGTAACCCGTTCCGGTACTTCTGGGTTTGGTGCGTCCGTAACCCGAAAACGCACAACCCACGGCGTTCACAACCCGAGGTATGACTGTACAAGCATTCCAAAGAACAGAAGTGCAAGCAACATACCAAACAATTTGCACCCCATTGTTGAAAGATTTGTGTGTGTGTGTGTGTGTGTGTGTGTGCACGCCTACAGGCACCTTCCCACTTGTGCATGATCACAAGCACATGACCGCTGATGTGCACACTGTTTTGGTCACTGAAAGGGGTGTGTGGCAGGGGCAGAATGGGGTGAACCGGGTTGGAATGGACTGACGCGCAGTGGTCATGAATGGAACCCCCATTAGCAGGAATTCCCCTGTATGTAGAAAATTAACAAAGAAATGAAAGCCAGCTTCAGTTTCGCAACTCCTTGCTGCCACATAGAAACTAGCTTGAACATACTTAAGAATTTCAGAATTAATGTGTGCAGATAGCAGAATTTAAGGCAGAAATGAGTGCATTTGGATACAATATTGCATGCAATGTTGTTTTGTTAATGTTGTGCAAATATTTTGCCTTTCCTTGGTGATGAAAATGAGCAGATCTTGACCATAATGCTTCATCGTGATCTGAATTGCTGTACTCCTTAGCTGTCCATGAACCTTACTTCTCAAAGTAAACAATGAGTAAACATAAAAGGCCCTGCTGGATCAGACCAAAGGGGCCAATCTAGTCTAACATTCTGTTTCCAGAGGTGGATTTAGGGCAAGGCACAGGGTGCACAGTGCACAGAGCCTAGGACTTGCTGATCAGAAGGTCGGCTGTTCGAATCCCCGCGACGGGGTGAGCTCCCGTTGCTCGGTCCCTGCTCCTGCCAACCTAGCAGTTTGAAAGCATGTCAAAGTGCAAGTAGATAAATAGGTACCCCTCTGTCGGGAAGGTAAACAGTGTTTCTGTGCTCTGCTCTGGTTCGCCAGAAGCAGCTTAGTCATGCTGGCCACATGACCCAGAAGCTGTCTGTGGACAAACGCCGGCTGCCTTGGCCAATAAAGTGAGATGAGCGCCACAACCCCAGAGTCGTCCACGACTGGACCTAATGGTCAGGGGTCCCTTTACCTTTACCTTTTACAGAGTGCTGAGCCAAAAAGGCACGTTCCCACCTCCCTCCCAAAGCCTAGTTAGTCCATGTCCAGCTTTGAGAAGGAGCTGAGAGGGCTCTAGGATCCTGCCAGAGCCTTGCACCTCCTTTCCAAAGCCCAGCACCTTGCTGAGCCAGCTTCAGGAAGGCAGCATAAGGGTTGAGTGTTTGTGTGTCAAATTTTGACCTCACACTGGGTGCCATATTACCAAGGTCCTCCCCTGCTCCTTCCCACAGTGACCACCTGCGAGATTGGCTGTGAGAAGCCCCACAAGAAGGAATCGTGAGGGCGATAATCCTCTCTTGCTGCTGTTTACTCCCTATTGCATTCAGCGCTATGCTGCTTTCGATACTGAACGTAATATGTAGCTATCATCACTAGTAGCCATTGACTGTCTTATCCTCAATTAATTCTCCTAATCCCTTGCAAGCCTTAACAGGCCCTTCTCTGAAATGCAGATTGAAGCCTTCTGCTAAAAAAGGCTTTCCAGGTCTGCTGTCATTTGCAGATGCAAACATGATCAAAAGGCTGGACACTAGCATCACTTTAGTGACCAGAGCTTCACCAGATATTGGACCTAATTCCAAAATACTCTGTTCCTTTACAGCTAGCACAAAAATACGACCCCCAGAAGGAGCATGAACTGCGGCAATGGATTGAGGAGCTGACCGGGAAGCGCATCGGAGAAAACTTTATGGAAAGTCTGAAAGATGGAGCCATCCTTTGCGAGTAAGGAACTAGGGGTGGGGGACATGTTTGGTAACCTCCAAGAGTCTTGGGGGCTTTTTTGAAGGGTGGACACTAAAGAATATCACCACCCAAACGCTGGCACCCAGAACCGGCAGCTGTTGTTATGATAAGACAAGTTGTATGACAGGACCAGGCAGTACATAACCTACAGGATAAAAGGTGCCCAACGCTGGCAAGAGACAAGAGTTTAAGAGCGTTCATAGCGGGTTTGAATAATGCACACCCATGAGGCAAGGTGGGGCAGTTGCTTCAGGACATCACACTTCAGGTAACTGGAAGGGACAGCAGATCCTGCCTCTGTGAAGCACACCCTACGCTTCTTGGGACACGGGTGGCGCTGTGGTCTAAACCACTGAGCCTCTTGGGCTTGCCAATCGGAAGGTCAGCGGTTCGAATCCCCACCATGGGGAGAGCTCCCGTTGCTCTGTCCCAGCTCCTGCCAACCTAGCAGTTCGAAAGCACACCAGTGCACACCAGGTCATCGGCCTGACTCTGCAAATAAGCTACACAGCTGAAGCATGAAGATTAATGTAAGGTTGCCATGTTTCAAGAAGTAAAAATCCAGACACAAAAGTTTGTTTGTTTGTTTGTTTGTTTAACTTATATACTGCCCTATACTCGGAGGTCTCAGGGCATTTCGCAGAAAAGATCACAATATATAAAATCAAATATCAAATTAAGAGCAATAACCCAAGAACACCACCCTCCATAAAGAGCCACATTTTTAAAAGGAAGTTGAGCTTTTTATGGGAAATCAACCAAAAAAGGCAAAGAGTGATACACACACGCCACACACTTTCTAGTTCTGCTGGCAAAAACCCAAAGGTTTTGTCAATTTTTCAAAATCCGCCCCCCCCCCCCCGATGCAAATATCACTATTGGAATCTCGGGAAAAACTGGATGTGTGGCAACCCTAACTAACAGAAATTATGTTGATGGATTTTACAGAAAAAGTCCAGCTGTCATAAGAACTTTCAGGCCAGCCGCAATGCTAGGTTTTACATAAAATGTTCTGGCAACCAGCCCAGAGGTCAAACAACCTAGCTGATGGTTGGTGTTTTTCCCTGGTCGTTTGGCAATCCTACTCACCACCCCGGCCAATTGGCAGAGAGGTGGACTCATTCCTGCCTTCCTTGAGACTGCTTTACCTATTTATCATTTTGAATATTAAAAAAAATTAAAAATCTCTCTGACAAATGAGCTCAACACCACTCAAACTTAGAAAGCAACACCTGCCATCCTCTTATTTCCCTCTAGCATCAAGCTAGATTTGTAAAAACTTGTCTTCCTCCTAAAGATAGTTTGATAGTTGGAAAGAAAAAACAAAAATGGGAAAATTCAGCAATAATCATCAACTGGTTTTTGTTGTGAGTAGTAAGAGATTTTAATTGCCTTGTTTTAAACAAGAACGTATCAGAAGATAATATAGCAATTGAATAGGATTGCTGTTCATCTTTTTATTATGTTTTATTATATTTTCTATGTTTGTTTTTTTGTAACCATCATCTTGCAGCTTGAGCAATGGATCATGCAGACCTTTATGTGATCCAGAGGATCTACTTGTAAACTGAAAAGCAGCAGTATTCATTACCCAATTCTACAATAAGGAATGATCCCAGTGTTTCTATATAACAAGGAGCATTCTTTCTGCTGATTGTATTATAAGCATAGCTGTCAACGTTTCTCCTTTTTTAAGGGAAATTCCCTGATTCCGAATAGGATTCCTTGCAAGAAAAGGGAAAAGTTGACAGCTATGATTATAAGTACATTTTAGGGCTGCTGCATATACAAGCTGTTTTCTATACGGAGGTTCCCTGTGTATAGAAAAAGTGTGGTGTAGGGGTTAAGAGCAGTGGACTCGTAATCTGGTGAACCAGGTTCGATTCCCTGGCTCCTCCACATGCAGCTGCTGGGTGACCTTGGGCTAGTCACACTTTTCTGAAGTCTCTCAGCCTCACTCACCTCACAGAGTGTTTGTTGTGGGGGAGGAGGGGAAAGGAGATTGTTAGCCGTTTTGAGACTCCTTCAGGTAGTGATAAAGCAGGATATCAAATCGAAACTCTTCTTCTTCTTCTTCTTCTTCTTCTTCTTCTTCTTCTTCTTCTACCAAAGTACGGTGTCGAAATAAATTAAAAAATATAAAAATTGTCCAGTAGCACTTAGAGACCAACTAACTTTGTTCTGGGTATACGTTTTCGTGTGCATGCACAATTCTTCAGTATGGTGTGTTCTTACATCAAAAGAGTTGCAGATTGGGAAGTCTTGAAGGAGAAACACACGGCACATGAAGTAATCCTTACACTGAGCAGCACACACAACACTTAAGAAATAAACTTCCTTTTCCCATTTCCGTCTTTCAGCCTCATTAACAAACTCCAACCTGGATCTGTGAGGAAGGTGAACGAGTCCACACAGAACTGGCACCAGGTAAACATTCCCTCTAATTTATTGCTTAATCCATGTATCCCTCATTAAGTTTGCCTCTCCAAATCCTGCTTTGGAAAAGGATGAGCTGATTAAAAAAACTTTAATGATGCACCAGGCATCAAATTCTGCATTAAGAGTTCCTTGGCCAAGCTTTTTCTCTATGGCCATCAGCTTTATCTCCCACAAAAGGCTTCTGCACGATCACACAAAATAACGTGCCCCAATCGCATTTTGCTCTTTGACTTTTGTCCATTATTCCTGCGAGCCTTGATTTACCAATGTATGTGCATGTGTGGGGGAAAGAGAGGGCCTGAGCTAAAAAGAGGGTGCTCTCTCCAGAGAAGGGGAATATGTGAGAATCTGGCAATATCTGCATGGCCACAGAGCTATCTGCTCAAATGCCACTGTCCATTGCCAGTGGGGTATTTGTGGAAGGCAGTCATTGCCTGGACAAGCACGCTAGGGTAAGAAAAGACCCAGCAGATTATTCATTGGCCTCTCCTCTTTTGCAGCTGGAGAACATTGGCAACTTCATTAAGGCAATCACAAAATATGGAGTGAGGCCCCACGACATCTTCGAAGCCAACGACCTCTTTGAGAACACAAACCACACCCAAGTCCAGTCTACTCTGATTGCTCTGGCTAGCATGGTAAGTGGCCTGGGACCCCCACTGCCCACTTTTCCTGGTAAAAATGCAAGTAGTGGTGATGGAACAGCAATTAATAAGAGTGATAAAAGTGTTTCACAAACACGTCCTCAGTAATTTTTTTCAGCCAACATCATCCCCATATTGCATATGGAGTCAAGAGAACAGTCGCTTGACTGAGGCCACCTGGAGAGTTCATGGCTTGAGATAAGATTCAAATAGGAGACCCTTAGTTTGTGGCTCTCACTACCACTGGCTCTGATTCAATATGGGATGGCAGCAGAGACAGGCGATATCTGGTTTTCAACATCACAATATATCACCAGCTAAACATCACGATATACTGATATATCACAATGTCTGAAATAAGGATAGAGCTGGTTTTCAACTTCGTGATATATCACCAGCTAAACATTGCAATATACAGTTGTACCTTGGAAGTCAAACGGAATCCGTTCTGGAAGTCTGTTCAACTTCCAAAACATTCGGAAACCAAATCATAGCTTCTGATTGGCTGCTGGAAACAATCACTTCCGGGTTTGCAGCGTTCAGGAGCCAAAATATCCAAGTTCAAGGGCATTCGGGATCCAAGGTATGGCTGTACTGATATATCACAATGTCTGAAAGATAGAGCTGGTTTTCAACTTTGTGATATATCACCAGCTAAACACCGCGATATACTGATATATCACAATGTCTGTAATGAGGATGGAGCTATGTAGAGGCATTGGCTGGCTTCACTGTTTTTCCCACATTGTGACTTGCACACACCCACTCCCCAAGCTTCGCAATATATTGCCGCATCAAAAATTATGAAATGGGTATCATGGTATGGGCTTTTGGAAAATATATCAATATATCGCCCAGCTCTAGATGGCAGCAACATGCATTAGCAATGTCACCTGTATGCTGTGCGCTAGTCTACACTTGTTACGTTTGCTCAGCCTTTGTCCCTTTCCCTTAAAGGGCAATGCTTATTTTCCTCTCTGACACTGGTGGGCAATGGGAACTCTCATCTCAATATCTAGAGCTTACTGTACTTTTCCGTGTATAAGACGCCCCCTATTTTGGGGGACTAAATTTAAAGAAAATGAGGGGAGATGGCCCAAAGTTGTTGAGCTTTTTTTAAGGGGGAATTGCATGCACGCCATCACCCCAGGAGGGCTGTTGCTGGGAGGCTGGCAAAGTGGGCAGCCGCTCCCCCCACGCCACTGCGGGCGGGAAGCTCCCTAGAGCACGGGCCGCCAACCAGTTGGCTGGCGGTGCACAGCTTCCCCTCCACTGCGCTGTGGGAAACACTCCCTAGAGCACGCACCTCCCGCAGCGGCATGGGGGGGGGATTGTGCGCCTGCCAACCAGCACCCATCTCCCCCACGCCCCGCCACTATCCATGTAAAGGACGACCCCAGTTTTTTGACATGATTTCTGAGTCAAAAAACTTTGTCTCATACATGGAAAAATATGACATGTTTGGTCAGCAAGGCTCAGCCCCAGAATGTGTCTGCAATTTAAGATCCTAAGCCCTGGAATATAAAGTGAGCTTTTCCTCCCACAACCTATTCCCACCCTCTTAGAACTTAAGGCACAGAGATTCTAGGACAGGTGACCACCTCTCATTTTAAGAAAAGCCGCTTCAAAATTAAGTGCTGAGGCCTGGCCCATCTGATCCAAGCTACAATAAGCCCAGCAGGTCTGAGCAAGGAATGCCACCTGCTGGTCTCAGCAAGAGTTCAAAGCAGAGCCCTCCTCACTCTTGGAAAAGCAGAAGCTTCTGCTATATATCTGAGAGGACAAACTTGCATCTTACCTGTTATGTACTGAAGTTCTCACCCTGGGCCAGCAGGGGGATACTGTAGATAGTTATGCAAATAAGGGATCGAAAGTGACGTTCAGTGATTGGATAGTTTTAGAAAATTGTTACAGTTACGTTGTACTGGAGCTCTATATAAGCAGGCTGACTGAACCCTTCAGTTCAGTTCTGTCCTGGCCTGTGAATAAACAAGAGCTGTTTGAAGAATCGCTGTGTCGTCTGATATGTTCACCCACAACTTAACATTACCCTTTAGGCATTAGCACAGGGCAAGGGCAAAACTTGAAGGGATTTCTGCCTCTTGCTTTCCTACAGGCCAAGACGAAAGGCATCAAGGTGAACATGGGCGTGAAATACGCTGAGAAACATCAGCGCAAATTCCTGCCTGAAAAGCTGAAGGAAGGACGGAACATAATCGGGCTGCAGGTATGTGACTCCAGAACTTCCTGCTGATTTATTCAGTAGGGAATTCTTCCCAACAGAAGATAAATGGACTGCAAGGATGTCCCAAAGGACCATTAGTGTAGTCATGCCCAGGGCCGGATTTAGGTTTGATGAGGCCCTAAGCTACTGAAGACAATGGGGCCTTTTATATGTCCAGCTGTCCTTTGCCAACAACAAATTGTTGCTGTTTTTTGTGTTTAATATATGCTATATGGTAACTTATGGACCTAAAGCCATAAATTATCTAAAGCCATTTGCACATGCTGCCACCCTGGAACAGCTCCCTCTCTCTGAAACTCAGACAGAGAGAGGTACAGTGGTACCTCGGGTTACAGACACTTCAGGTTACAGGCGCTTCAGGTTTCAGACTCTGCTAACCCAGAAATAGTACCACGGGTTAAGAACTTTGCTTCAGGATAAGAACAGAAATCGGGTTCCGGCGGCGCGTCGGCAGCAGGAGGCCCCATTAGCTAAAGTGGTACCTCAGGTTAAGAACAGTTTCAGGTTAAAAACGGAACTCCAGAACAAATTAATTTCTTAACCCGAGGTACCACTGTATTCCAGTGGCAGCAGAAACAGTGACGGGGTGTGTGGGGCAAGGTGCTGCCTCTTGCACTTCCGCCACCTGAGGCAGCTGCTTAACCCTGCCTTATGGATGGGCCAGCTCTGCGTTCCACTTGAGCATTTCAAAGACACAGATGATAGCACAAATGTATGGGAAGCTGGCTTATGAGCACTGCATTGCCACCTAGAGGCAGAAGGTGATACTAAAGATGCTTTTTAATAGGGGTTTAGATAGGGTTGCCATAAGGGACGCGGGTGGCGCTGTGGTCTAAACCACAGAGCCTAGGGCTTGCTGATCAGAAGGTCGGCGGTTTGAGTCCCCCTAGCAGTTCGAAAGCACGTCAAATGCAAGTAGATAAATAGGTACCACTCCAGCGTGCGCTGCTCTGGTTCGCCAGAAGCGGTTTAGTGATGCTGGCCACATGACCCAGAAGCTGTCTGCGGACCAATGCCAGCTCCCTCAGCCTATAGAGCGAGATGAGCACCGCAACCCCAAAGTCCATCCACGACTGGACCTCATGTCAGGGGTACCTTTACCTTTTAGGTAGGGTTGCCATATGTCTGGAATTTCCAGAACGTAGCCGGCATTCAGCCATTGGAAACAGCGCCTGGGTGGAATCACTTAAATGTCTGGAAGTGTATATATTGGTGAATTTCCTTAAAAATAGCTCCAAAACTTCATTAATTTTGCAAAAAGCAAAAAAAACCACAAAAAACCAGAAAACTCAAAAACATTGGGCAAAACTAAAAACAACATTTGCCCCCTACCCCCGGGTTTTCACTTTTTGAAATATGGCAACCCTAGTTTATATGGAAAATAATTGTGTACAGCTGCAAACACTGGCAGCATTAAGACAAATGCAACAGTGTAAAAAATTGGTATAGTTTTTGTAAAATATGCAGGGATATAAAATATGCAAAATGAACCATGGAAAGAGATGAAGGGAAGTCATTGATATCTTAAGTATGTAAAATGTTTATCTGAAATTGTAAAACAGAAAATTTAATAAAAATCATATTTTTTTAAAAAAAGAAGCCTTACACAACCTACCGATGCAATATGGCCAGGCTATTCCAGACATAGTCTACAGGAATGTGATGGGAACAAATTACAGGAACACCCCCCAGCTGTAAGATCTTCCTGAAATCTGGATGAAATCCGTGACAGAACCAGAAATAAATGGAATTCTACATTGTCTAAGTGGCAGGGTAGGGTTGGGGCTTTCCATCTGTGGGTAGCTGGATGGGGACCACTCTTCTAGGGAGACTTGGAGGAGACAGAACGACCAGTCTAACTGTCAACACTGTTTTTGCTTCCTAGATGGGCACCAACAAGTTTGCCAGCCAGCAGGGCATGACAGCATATGGCACACGTCGGCACCTCTATGACCCTAAGCTGGGCACAGACCAACCTTTAGATCAAGCCACCATCAGTCTACAGATGGGAACCAACAAGGGGGCTAGCCAGGTAAGAAATGGAGGGGGGGAACAAGAATAAATATGTGTGTTGACTATTTAGTATTCCAGCTCTAGCTGGAGTTTCCCCACGACTGCAATGGTGGCCTTGAAGGACTTCTCCTGGTGCCCACGAAGTATCTCTGCAACATTCCTTGCCCCCTACCCTCTTCATCATGAGGTGGCAAGGGGGTCTTTGTTTTTTCCTCCTTGAAAAGCTCAGAGCCGAAGGACTCTGTGCCACTCTTTCCCATTCCCTCTTTTAGCTCTATGTGCTTCTCAAGGCTCAGAGGGCATCCAGGCAGTTGAACCATAGGAACTGGAGCAACTAAGAGAAAGGTAGGGATGCGGGTGGCACTGTGGTCTAAACCTCTGAGATTAGGGCTTGCCGATCAGAAGGTCGGCAGTTCGAATCCCCGTGACAGGGTGAGCTCCCATTGCTCGGTCCCAGCTCCTGCCAACCTAGCAGTTCAAAAGCACATCAGAGTGCAAGTAGATAAATAGGTACCACTCCAGCAGGAAGGTAAATGGCATTTCCATACGCTGCTCTGGTTTCGCCAGATGCGGCTTAGTCATGCTGGCCGCATGACCCAGAAAAACTGCCTGCAGACAAATGTCAGCTCCCTTGGCCAGTAAAGCGAGATGAGCGCCGCAACCCCAGAGTCGTTCACAACTGGACTTAACTGTCAGGGGTGCTTTACCTTTACCTTTTTAAGAGAAAAAGGAAACCACCGAGGGTGCAGTGGGTGAACTGGTCAGGGGACAAAATAGTGTGTGCTGCAGGGATCAGAAGAATGTAGTGCCAGGCAACCAGAAGGTGCACTCACAAAAGTTGGATCCAGTAAGATGTATTCTCTTGAAATGACATATTTTCCCCAATAGTTCACCCAGCCTGTCCACCACCAAATCACAGATCACACCTGTCTCTATTGGCTGCACTGTAAAAATCACAGATCCAGTACCTCCCAGTGCTTCCATGGTTCACATGGATACAAGGCACAAATCCTCATGGATCTGTAAGAGATTCTCAAAACCACCATCAAATCTCAGGTCACCTCTGTACCAACTGATGTATTCTGCAATTTACTGGTGGCTTTGTTGTCCTTCTTTGGGGAAAAAAATCTATGAGGAGCCATGTTTTTGTGGTTCATTTTTTTTAATACTATGCAGTCTTCCAGTGGAAGGTTTGTTTTGATTGTGGCTTTGGTGGGATCCAAATTTAAGAGTATGGTTTAATTCTGCTGGATCTAACTTCTATCCAGACCCCATGGAACAATAAAGTGTGTGTGTGTGTGTGTGTGTGTGTGTGTGTGTGTGATTTCTTTGTCTGGGGTAAGGTAAAGTGTCATGAGGGAGCATGGGAAGAAACAGAGGAGGTGGTACCCAGAACACTCTCTCAACATTTCAAATGTGGCCACAGGGCCTAAAGTTGATGGCACCTGAAAGAGATGAAAAAATAGCCTTAGACACAGTAAGATGGTGTAAAATCCTCAAAAGACAGTCCCAGTGTCCCAGTTAGATATTTTGCAGTGCTGGGTTACATTCTTTTTCTCTGTAAAAAAACCCCAAACCCTCATGACTCTGGGAAAGGCACCATCTTTTGCACTCTGTTTTGCATGCTCTCCCACCAAGTGGAACACCACCAGATTATCCTCACTATGGCAGAAGCACAACAGGCAAACTGCAGCTGTTCTTAGAAATGTCACAGATGTAATGAAGTACAGCAGCAGTGTTAAGAAGAAGTCAGTTTCTGGGAACAGATGGGAACGTGTGTTACTACTTAGGGGTCTATTTATATATAACTGCCTGTCTACAAGAGCAAGGGGCATCCCTTGTGGGTTCTAAGCAACACCCCCTTGTGGACCATTCATAGATTACTGTGCATTAAGCACTTTTGTACAACTAGGTTTTTAGGCATAATGCAAAAAAAAAAAAAGGGTACTCTGCCAAGAAGAGACAATGCTGCTGCTGTTTTGGGTACCGGATTATTTAACCCGGGATAAACCATTCCAAAAGAGTCCATGATTCTTTTTGAGCCAATTGCCTTGTTTTGAAATGCTATCTTACAGCAGCCTTGGAAACATGTGAGCTGAAGTTGAAGCAACTTCAGGCCAGGTGGGGGCAGTTATCTCAAGAAGATACCATTGCCAGTAAACAAGTCCTAGCTTGTTCTTTCCTCATAATCCAGAAAGCAGGTACTGCTAATCTCAAGTGTTCCACGAGTACTTTTAGGTCCCCAAGAAGATCAAGGTAAACTCAGAAGAGCTATTTGAGGTATTTGTTGTGCTAGAAAGCAAATAAGCTCAGCCTTAATGCAAGGAGAGGAAGATGAGGGATGTTCAAACCGGAAAACCAAACTTTTGCTTGGCATCCCATTGACACTAATAAAGTTGAACTAAGTACAGTGGTACCTTGGTTCTTGAACTTAATCTGGTCTGGAAGTCCGTTCCAAAACCAAAACATTCCAAAACCAAGGCGCGCTTTCCCATAGAAAGTAACGCAAAACAGGTTAATACGTTCCAGGCTGTTGAAAAACTACCCCTAAAATGCTTCTCCCCACAGCCCCAATCAGAGCAATCTCTCTAAAAACGGAAGTGCAACACTAAAAACAGAAGCTCAGGACACGTTCAACTTCCAAAAAAAATTTGAGAACCGGAACGCTCACTTCCAGGTTCCAAGTTGTTCATGAACTAGGCTGTACGAGAACCAAGGTACCACTGTACCAGCAGAGAGGGTATGAAGGGGGCCTCATGCGAATCCTGCTCTGCTTTCCATTCTTCTCCTTAAGACGTTTTACACTCCCAGGTTCACCATTTCCTCTCTTCTTCTTCCTCCTCCACCCATATCCATCCCTAGGCGGGCATGACGGCCCCTGGAACCAAGCGGCAGATTTTTGAGCCCGCCCTGGGCATGGAGCACTGTGACACCCAGAACATCTCCCTGCAGATGGGCAGCAACAAAGGGGCATCGCAGCAGGGCATGACTGTGTATGGGCTGCCGCGGCAGGTCTACGACTCCAAGTACTGCCTCACACCCAACTATGCCATGATCGGAGAAGATGAAGGCCAGTACAACCACAGCCATCATAACTTCTACAACTCAGAATAGCCAGCAGGAATCATGGGACGGACATAGAACAGAGACACCAGCACTTAAAAAAAAGAAAAAGAAAAAAAAGGGGCACTTCCCAAACAGGAGATCCACCATCAGGTGGCTATTTTCACCTGGGAATATAAGAAGATCCAGACAGTTCCCTAAACTGCTAACCAGCTCACTAGAGACTCTTCAAACCATGCCAAAGCCAAGTCTCCCCTCCAAGTCTCCACCGAGCCTTAAAAGCTTCACTTCGATCCCTTTCACGCTTTATTTAATGTATGACGTACTGCCACTACTTTTAAGCATGCACTGATGTGGCTCAAAGCCACTAGGATGGAATGTTACAGTAAAAATAATAATAATAATAATCTAATGGGTTGGGAGAAGCAAATACGAGGCAATGAGCACTCTTGATTTCTCCCTCTTTCTCTTTCCTGAACAAGAGCCATCAGTCATCTCTTCCCTGTGGCTTGTGGCAGCTCCTGCTGCTGCTGTTTTGGGTCAAGGCAGAAGCAGGCAATCAAAGGCACAGTTTCTGTTGGTGAACATATTGCCTACTGCACTCTGTTTTGTACCATAACAGAAGCCGTTCTGGTACAAGCCCCATCATCTGCCTTGCTCTGTCTACAACCAGGTTAGGGGCAAATTGGCAAGCCCCCCCCCCCTGCCTACTTTGCCAGGGGTTCCAGTCATTTTTGCTTCCTAAATACTAATAGTTTGTAGAAAAGCACCAGTGAACTGAATCAGCTATTGGCTTCCTGGAAACGGAACGTATTTAGGTAGAGTATGTGAACTGCGGAGGGAGACTGTAGAAGGAGGTTGGACGCATCTAACCAGTAAAGGGGTATGTTCACAGTGTCTGAAGTTATCCCAAGATTCATGTGAGAGATCATTTGGTGAGAATTACACACAATTGTAAACCAAAGCCGTTCATCTTCTACATCTTTAGGGAGAATCTGGAAAATAACTTACCAGGTTATCAGTAATCTAGTCTTCACTAAAAAGGAGAGACAGAGAATTTATAGTCCTAATGGTTCTTGACTGAGCTCCATTATGCAGGCAACTTCTACAAAAACAATCTAGCGCTCAGAAATTGGAATTTCCCAGAAATGCATGGCAACTTATCCATTCCTCCTCCTGAATGCCTCTTGTTTACCAATGGTTCTCCTATCAAGTAAGCCACTTCCTTGCCATCAATCTCATTTATCTCCAGCACACACGCCCAATTTCATAGTAAATAACGGAAATCAAAGCAATTCCATGCACTGCAAGCGCATTTACACACATTCTGGAGAAGAAATTTAAAATTCCAGAGGTACAGAACATGAACAGCCTTCAATAAGGCTGGCAGAAGTGCCATGGGACTAATTCATGTTTGAAACTAAAATGCTTCTATTAACTAAGATTCACATGCTTCAAATGAAGACAAATGATTCACCTGCTATAAAGCCAAAGCCAGTTTTGAGATAGGCCTAACCACAGAAGACCAAAATAAATCCTACTGAATTTACTTACACAAGTAAATTTGGCTTGTGATAGCACTATCACCCAGTTCAATACGTGCTCTGTACTCGATTAACAGCATGGATTTTAAACTTGCATAAATTTGCATATATCACAATAGCCCTGAAGGGGGAGGGAAAGCATTTACTTTTATTTCCACCTGCGTGAGGACCAAGGAGGAATGCTCTTATAAGAAGCCCCCTGCCACCACCTATGGATTTATAATCATTTACATTTAAAAGCAATTTTCCAACAAGTCTCCTCTAACTGACCAAAGCATTTGATTAATCAGTTGGATTAGTTGTCCAAAGATGGCAGTCTTGGTTAAGGATTGGGGTGCTTATCTACGTGCGTGGCATCCAAGTTAGAACAGGAAAAAGTTCGCTTCACTAACTGCATCACCTGGTGGCAAATCTAGTTTTTAGCCGGGGGCACTTGCTCCATAGCTGTCAACTTTCAGATTTGAAAATAAGGGATCAGCAGCCTCACCTGTCCCAGGGACAGTCTACAGGATATCTAACAATCCGGGATAGCAGAGGGAAGCAGCGGGAAACGGCACTGGAATAAGGGAATTTCCCGCCAAACGAGGGAAGGTTGACAGCTATGACTTGCTCACTGATTAGCACTGTAGTTAGTATGTGATACCAGATATTGTTATAAACCAACACTGGGGGGAAATGCCAAAGTCTATATTGCCAACGAAAGCAGCTGCCGTCTTTAAATCCTGCCCCTGCCCCTCGCTTCTCTCACTGGGGTCAGAGGTGCTCTACATATTGAGCAGCTAAGACACACCCAAAAAACCCCACTCTAAAACATTTTTTGTTATGTTCTGCTAATGACCACTTTTTAATTTCACTGCAGCACAATAAAAATGAGAAAAAAAAACCACTTTTCTAATATGATTGGAGGTCTTCCTTATCCCTTGGTCAGAGGTTTTCAACCTTTTTGAGTCCACAGCTCCCTTGACCAACTCCGTTCTTTCTGCGGCACCCCTGTGGGGCTCAGGAGCCCAGTTATGTCACCCCTTGCCTGCAGAGCTGGCAGCCTCTCACCCTTTTTCAAACACCCTTGTGGAGGGTTCCTTCAGCCTCCTCTCTCTTTTCCCTTCTCATTGGGGGTCCTCTGGGCAGCTGGCGCCCCTGGTCTCTGATCTGCGCCCCCCCTGCCCCAAAGAGAGGTGCCTTCTCACACTGCCCCACAGGGGCCTGGGAGGCATCTCCTGGGCAGTTTGTAGCCAGAGCTGCTACAACAAACAGCCACACAAGCCTACGGGAGGCAGAGATGCAAGAAGACATCAGAGGAGGGAGGGAAGGAAAGAGGGACAGAGGCCAGTGTTGCCTGCGGCACCCCCGACCATCATTCAAGGCACCCCAGGGTGCCATGGCACACTGGTTGAAAACCACTGCTCTTGGTCTATCTAGTCCAGATCTACTTTGGCTTACAGGGAATCTCTAAGACCTCCAGGCAGAAAGGACTTTTCAAACTCTGGAACCCAAGTGTATGCCAAGGATTGAGCCTGGGGGACCTTCTACGAGCAAATTCATGTAAAAAGGGCAATTTTTAAAGTGCTAAACTAGATTTTGACTCTGCTCTCTTCCAACTCAATTTAAAGCTTGTGTTTCTTTGCAAGTGTCTACTGTCAAATGGAAAACAGTCAGCCGACGATGCAGAATGGGAGAGAATACGCCTGCATGGTTATGAATGTATTCAGTAATTTGTACCGCATTCAACAGCATAAAAATCCATGGGGCAAATGCGCTGTCATTTTAAAATGAGCAAAGTTTCTAGCCTTTGTAGTTACAGAGAAAACCTGAAAATAATGGGCAGCCTCTGCTTTAAGTAGAAAATTCAGATTTCTACAAAAAGGGTTATTACTATGCTGCAAAAAAAAATAAAGCATGTAAGCTCAAGCTATACTGTGTGCAGATCTAGAGCAGTTTAGAATCTTCTTCTGGGAACAGATAAACTCAAAACAATCTCTTGCTTGGCAGGTCTCAGAAAATAAGTACTGTACAAAAATAAGGGAAGTTATGTCTCATTTGCTGTCCCTGGGTTGGTGTAAGAACATAAGAGCTTGCTGAATCAGACCAATGGCCCACTTAGTGCAGTAACCTGTTTCCAGTGGTGAACCAGGTGTCTATGGGAAGCCTGCAAGCTGAACCTGAACACAAGAGCTCTTCCCACACCTGTGATTCCCAGCGACTGCCCTAAAGAGTCACACTATCTCAGACAGTGGAGGCAGAGTGTAGCCATTGTGGTTAGTAGCCATTTGATAGCCTTTTCCTCCATGAATTTTTCTAATCCTCTCTTAAAGCCATCCAAGTTGCTGGCCATCACTGCCTCCCAGTTGGAGTTCCATAGTTTAACTATGCACCAGTACTTTCCATGGCGTGTCCTGAATCTTCCATCCAATCTTCATTGGATGCCTCCAAGTTCTAGTATTGCAGAAGGAGATAAACTTCTACCCACTTCCTCCAAACGGTCCGCAACTTTTTACACCTCTTATTCAACTTTTGTCTAAACTGAAAAGCCCCAAATGTTGTAAGCCTTCATCATAGAGCCGTTGCTCTGTTCCCTTGGTTCTCTGAAATGTTTTTCAGCTCTACAATATTATTTTTTAGGTGAGGCTACCAAAACTGTACAGCTTTCCAAGTGTGGCCACACCATAGATGTGTTTAATGGCATTATGTTATTTGCAGCGTTATTTTCAATCCCTTTCCTAATGGACCCCTAGCATGGAATTCAGCTTTTTCACACTGGATCAAAATCTTCTTTGAGCTATCCACTACGACCCTACGTCTTCTTCCTGGTCAGTCACCATCAGTTCATTTACACTGAATTGCATTTACCATTTTACTGCCCATTCACCCAGTTTGGAGAGATCCTTTTGGAGCTCTTCACAATCTTTTAGTTTTAACCGCTTTTAGCAATTTGGTATCATCAGCAAATGTGGCCACCTCACTGCTCACTCTGCACCATGTATGAACAAATTAAAAAGCACAGGTGCCAATAAGAACCCTTGGGGAACTCTACTTTCTGACTCCCTTCATCGGGAGAATTGTCTACTTATTTCTGCTCTGAGTCCTATTTTTTAACCAGTTACTGATCTACAAGAGGACCTCTCTTAATCCATGTCTCCTAAGCTTATTCAGAATCCTTTGGTGACCATTAGACAAGCATCTCCATTCCACTGGCTGGAAGTGACTAAACATGGCAACCCTTTACAACAAGGATAAAAAGGTAATACAGTATACTGGTGACTCTCAATTTAGGAGATTACATTCTGGGGATAGTGTGTATAGTCAAAACACATTGGGTTCAGTGATGTGTGGGATTGCCAAAGTCTTTTCCCCCTGGACACCTGCCCCCTTTTATTTTAAATTGCGTAAAGCTGAATGTGCAAGTTGTGAGTTACTTAGCACATAAACACCTGTATTTGCACGAACAAATCCAAATACTTTTCTCCATGTCAAAGAAACCTACAGGGTACTTGGTTAATTTTACAGCAGTTTCTATTATACAGTCATTGGATCCAAAACAGATTGGATTCCCCAAGCCGACCTTCAAATAGGTGAATAGCCAATACTTAGTTGACATGTTTCTACCTCGCCTTTAAGACAAGACAGCTTCCAACAGAACAAGTCAAACACAAAAATCGACAAACGTAAAATAAAAAGGTGGTTGAGACCTCTGGTCATACTGTTCCATGCCACATGTCCTACAACCTTTATTCAAAAAGCAAGGTGACCCTGCCAAAGTACAAAGGTTACACAGAAAACAGGGTTAGTTGTCTGGGGGCCCTGATTACCCTAGAACACTGTGCAAAGTCCCAACAGGTTTTATTTACTCTGTCTAATCTCTCACAGCAAACAAGCCCAGTCAGCTGATTTGTCACAAACACTCCATTCTGGTACTCTTGATGTTCTCACCTTGGCCTGGAATGCAGCCATTTGCTCCGTTTTGCCAAGGTCAATAAGGAAAAAAAAGATTACTTCAAGAAGTCATGCTACTTTACAAAGAACAGGATAGAAGTAATAATTTCATAATAATCTTTACCAGACAAGTTAAGTGTGATGGCCAGCTTCAGTAGATGGGTAAAGGTTCAATTCTCCACAACAGGACCTATCATTCTCTTTTGCTGAGAACTGGGTATTGTGCAGGAAAAAGACAGCCAGGATGGGCTGTAGCAAGAATTGTGCTCTCTCTCAAAGTGATGCAGGGCTGCAGAGAATGGGAAAAGGCATTTCTTTCAGCTTGGGTCAGCTACTAAATGTGGTGTTTAGCCACTTGTCAAAATGTGGACGCAGCATCATTCCTTTCAAGGCCAGGTGGAAGGCCACAGAGCCACCTTAAAACTTGTTTCAATGGTCCTTCAGTTAACTCTTCCTTTGGCTGAGAAGCAGGACTTGAGTAGTAGCTGGTCTCCCCAAGGCAAACAGGAGAGAACCCAAGAATATTTTTATAGGCTCCACCATCCCTGCTTGTCTTTTCTTTCATCACTGCCTGTGGAGCTCTTAAGGAACTCCACCCAAAAAAACCTTGCCTCCCTAACCAAGACAGGTATATAATTGATAATTCTGTATTAAAAATAGACTTCTAGGAAGTTCAGTGTGAGCTTACACCATTACTATTAGTGGAATGACCACTCCAACAGAAAGCTCAGTTTCCTTAACGGTAGTTCAGCCTTGTGGTTCTTTGATTTCCTTCTTCTACAGAGCTCAGAATGTTATTTTAGCCCCACAGCATCCATGTAAAATGGAGCTGGGCTGAAAGAGGGTAATTTACCCAAAGCGTCATGGAAACTTACAGGGAACTGAAGATGCAACAGCCAAGAGTATCCAAGCACACAGCTTAAGGCACTCTTGTCTTCTTCAAAATGGGCAGCAATTACAAAACCGAAGACAAACACAAAGTTGCTATCACAGAAGCAGCTAACACAAAAAGCTGTACTGACTTCATACAATCCAAAAAGATTAACGTGGGACCCAACACAACACCAGCAGTAACAGAAAACACTGAACAGATGCTTTTCCATTATAGAATTTATTTAAAGGGGATGATAATTACTCAGTTACTGGCAGAGGCTGCTCTAATACATTTAAAACAAGCGGGTTCCTGCTTTCTTGGACATTATTTACATACAAGGGCACAAGAATTTGCTGTCCAATAGGAATTAATTCCTGCTTAGATCTAAAAAGACAAGGGACTTGATAGAGCAGCAGTGGTTGTTTGGGAATGTACAGCTGGAGGCTGCTTTTACCATCAAAGGCAGCCCAAAAAGGCCTCCTGATTCAAGGCCACATGACCGTGAGGGAGGTAAGGTGAGAAGGGGCCAAAATCCTCTGTCATTGACTGCCAAATTCAGAATTAAACCTCTGCCCGTATCGCCATTCACTCCAAAGCAAATCATATGTGGTGGTTGCTGTGACCCCTGTATTTTGTGAGCACTCTGTTATTAGGAAGGCTAATAAGAAAAGGGAAGCCAAACTGGCAATTAAGTGATCTATTTCTGGAAAGCAGAGTTCATGCTCACCACAGTGAGAAGGATAAAAAGCAAAACAAAACAAAAAAAAACCATACACACTGGAAGGATCTTTTACAATATACTGTTCAATTATCACCTATGTACATTGCACCAGTACCTATTAATCCGATGATGGCACAATCTGTGATGTAGGCAGAATTCTCCTCAGTAAAGTACAATTAAAATCCCACATCTACTCCTATGGAGCATCCAGAAGCACAGTTAACGTCACTGGCTACTAAATTGGCTTTTAAATAAGTCTTTTAAAATAAAGCAACACTTCTTTCGTGGGATAAAGAGTCCCTATTTAAAACAGTAGCATCAAGGAAGAGTCATGATTTCCCCCCTCCATCATGTTGATGGTCCCATAGTCTTAAGGTCAGAAGTACGGTCAGATTCCTGACTATTCAACTGCTGGGCAGGAGCTAACCTTGCTTTGTTTCCTGGGAAAGGAAAGAAGAGTCCTGTGCACAAAAACACCCAGAAAAAAAGAAATTATGGTAGGGAAAGAATTGTAAGAAATTCTTCTGGCAGTTTCAGGAACCCAAGGATGACATATACTGCCACCCCTACATAATTGGCACCACCTACTGAAAGAAATGTTTCCTTAGTGACCAGGTCTACTACTCAGTGAGTCACTAAAGCAATTATACGTGGGGGATTATTTCATGTTCTGTTCCTGTATACTGTTGCTTGCTCAGCATTGCTGTTCAACCATGGCAACAAGGTGTGCAATTTCCCAAGGACTACCTCTGAATATCCAGCGACAAAGGAGCTTGCATGGATGCTCCTTCCATACAAGCCCCACTGAAATGAACAGAGATTGAATAGCGGCCCTTGATAAGAATGCACCCAATGATCAGTATGTTTACAAAACCACGGGCCTTTCCAAAGTTTTGCAGATCCTACTTATAGTCTTTAGTCCCTTAATTCCAGGAGCACAATCTCATAATATTCATGTAGGACAGGATTACTGGATAGAAACAAACAGCACAAGAGTCACATTTCCCAGCCACTTGTTGGATCTTCCAATGCATTATGTAACAGATAACTTCCACCCTCCCAAATTAAGAAGTATTGTTGAATTCCTGGCAAGTTCCTCTCCAGTTGCTATTGATTGGCTGCCTCACAAGCATCTATCCAGTCACTGTAAACATCCACTGGTTCTGAAAGATCTTTAGGGTGAAATGTCAAGGAAGAATCTACCATGAGTGCCCCCCACATTAAAAAAATACTATTGGTTTTGGATGTGTATATTTTTCAAAAACACTGCTAAATCTTGCAAGTGATTTCTTCTATGAACCATAGTTAAGCTGGTACAAGAGTGGAACTCTAGCTGATTTTAAGTATCTGTGGTGGTGGGGTATTTCAGTTGATTAACCACTTTGGCAAGGCTATGTCTGATCAATTTTGATGCTAACTCTCTATTTCCAGGTCTTTATGCAGGGTAAGATAAAACATGTCAAGGCCAAAACCAAGCAGAAAGCATTACACCCTAGGTTACGAATTACTGACATGAAAAAAAAGGAGCCAAGTCTACATGGGGGAAGAGAATAAAATATTATAAAACTGAATTGAAGTTCAAAGGATACATGTTATAGGAGTCTGAAATTCTTCCAGACACACAGTACAGGATATCACACCCGTATTTCGAGCCCTGTCCCTGAAACACAAAAAAACATATTATAGCTGAAAAATACCCGTATGTGAGAAAGTGTATGCCAGAAAAGAGGAAAAAGATGGTACATTCATATGACTTTGGGTATGGAATATTGTTTAACATGCAGTGAACAGTAGGCACAAACATTCCTACAGCCATCTCAGTTAAAGGCATAGCAAAATAAGAAGTACCCGTCACAAATCTTTCCCTACAGAATGGATGGGGAACCTCTGGCCCAAGAGCCAATTTTATGCCACACAGGTCTCCAATCTGGCTCACAAACCATGTTACCCAAACCATGCCCACTTGTGAATCATTCTGATGGAAAGGGCTTTCCAATCCTGCTTTGCCTGGGGAAGTAGGACACACAGCCAATGCCTGCGGAAAGCAGGAGTGAGCTCCCTTTGCATCAGCTAATGTGTGGAGAGTTCAATTCTGCTTGGGGACTTGGGAAAACATAAGGCCAAATCAAGGCCAGCACAAGAGGCATAAATATTCCATTTTCACCACCCTGCATTAGTACTAAAATCATTTCAATGCCAACAATGAAGGAAAGCAAACAAGGACGAATTTGGAAGAGGTACTTCGAAATGAAGAAATGTTGGCCTCTGCACTTAAAATTTGATATGCTTAGTGGGGAATAAAATAATGCACTCTTCATACATTTCTCTTTTTATTTAATCATTTTTTTGCCCACCAACATCTGAAGGCCTTGTTCAGCCAATATCTGAAACTTGAGAAAGGACTTTCTTGGTAGCTGCTCCCACAATTTTGAACTCCTTGCTAATAGGAGGCCCAGTTAGCCTCACCTCTGGGTTTTTTTTAACTGCTTTTTGTTTTTTCCTTTTCCTTTGTTATTGTACTTATTAGTTAGGTGCCTTGATCACCTCTTCATGGAAATAAAGGATACAGATACAACCAAGGAATAATGGATATTTTTTATGTGCACTTGAGAATTCTCCAACTCCTTGAAATATATCAATTACTTGTTCTTCTGTATGCGTCGGTCTTGTTGTGTTAGGTTTCTTTTAAAAAATCCTTTAGTTTTTGTCACTCTCTCTTAACACCTTTGAATTCTGCCACAAACACTTTCTTCATACACCCTTGAATAGAGGGGAGGGGTGGCAAAGGAGCCTGAGTCTTCTTGTTGTATTTTGGCTCTGGAGGCATTGTTTGTGACACTGTGTACAATGTAATACATGGAAGATGAGCAGATTGAACTACCAGCAAAGTGCTGGCCTACCAGCTATTTTTCCTTTATTCCCTTTCCAGTTCTAATAATGTCTCCGTTCCCAGCTAAAAAGAAATGTCCTCCTGCATGTCTATTTTCTGAACCTTCCCTTGTGAGGGCCAGGATGCACATGTCTGCACCCTATTAAGCTTCAGTTTGCCACACAACATTAATCCACACTCTTCTTTTTTTACATAACTTACATTTTAACATCACACGATTTCTCATGGTTACAGAAGGGGCAAGTAAATTGGGTCTCAAGTGTCCCAGTCATCTTCTTCTTGGGTGGAGGCTTCCGCTTTGACTTCCTACGGCCCATTTTTGCCTACAGCATGCAAAGCAAGGAGAAACAAATGTGAAGGGGGGTGGAGGCAGGAGAAGAAGCTTCAGCAAAAGTCCTTTTCATGTCATTCCCCAACGTGGTGCCCTCCAGATGCTTCAACTGCAACATCCACCACCCCCAATCATCAGTCAGTCTAGCCGGGACTGACGGGAGCTACAGACCAACAACCTCTGGAGGGCAGCAGGTTGAGGAAGGTGAAAGCGGTTGTAGAAGATTAAGTAGTGATTAAAATATTCAGAAAGCTGTTGCACCAACAAGATCAGTGATCACTTTGGAGGATTAGGGTTGCCCAGGTTCAGAAAACTGCAGCCAAGGGAGCAGAGCCAATGACTGGCAGTTCCACTGACTAGGAGGGAAGAATACGTGGTGGCCAGCATGAAGGAACCTGACTGCGTATGGTGACTCAAGGGCAGAGCAGAGCCAATAACAGGAGTAATCCAAGAATCATGCAAAACAAAAAGCCCCTATGCTTTGGTTATATCAGCATGCTCAGTAGCTAGAGCATGAGACACTTAATCTCAAGGTCATGGGTTCAAGACCAGCATTGGACAAAAGATTCCTGCATTGCAGGGGGTTGGACTAGATGACCCTTGTGAACCCTCCCAACTCCACAATTCTATGAGATTTCATTCCTTTCTCCTGCCAACCATACTGGGTGACCCAGAAACACTGACCACATGAGGGGGCTTTCCTTGACTGCCCCCCCCCAATTCACCTCACCCCATAACCAAGGGAGCAAAAACAGGACTGACTACAGAAGGGTGCCCAGCAATGAACTGCATGCGCGTGCATGCGCGCACACACACATACTGTATATATGTCTGTGTGTATATATATAGTTTTAATTCTATTACTGTTTAATTGTTTTTTAATGATTGCTTTTTTTCCTGTAAGCCCCCTTGAGTTCCTGGTCAGGGGGGAAAGGTGGGGTATAAATACATATAAAACTGGGGTATAAATAACTACAACGCCACTCTGAAAAGGCACCTATAACCTGCTCTCCCCCCCCCCCAAGTTCCTTTGAACAGCCACCTCGGACTGAAAAGAACAGCAAAGGGCTGTTATAAAGTGCGAAGGGCTGCTTGCAATGTTTGAAATCAGCACGGCGCCAGGCACATTTTGCACCTGGCTTTTGAGCACTAGCAACCAAGTGAAGTTGCCCGGGATGGCGCCTGAACATCTCCACCATCGGGAGCTGCATGCCTGGGGATCCTTGGATCCGAACTGTTTCCACACACTGGTACCCCGTCCTGGGGAATGCTTATTTTATCTGCACTACGGGAATGAACTTCTGGAACCGAAATGCTTTTCCTTTTTCTGCACAGCCTGAGCAGGGGCAGTTACCACTGCCAGGGGGGGGGGGAGGAGAGAGGTTGGTATAAGCCAATAAGTATGTGGCCTGTCCCTGGATCGAGCAGCTTTTCTTCTTTTAAGTTCTCAAAGCTCTCAATCTAGCTCAAGGTGGTCCTCTGAACTATCACATAAAATAAAGACTTCAGCCTTGTTCCCAAATGGCAACTAGACATTCCGTTCTAGCAACTATAACCTTGGTTTAAGGCCATGGTTCCCAATGTGGGGCAATTTGATTTTTAAGAGGGGCAATCTGGTTTTTAATGGGGGGCAATTCGAGAATGTGTTATTAACAGTGAATATCCTTTTAAGCTTCTTCCACGTGAATATGAGTTCACTTTTTGAAAAACAAGAATTATATGTCACAAGCAGGGGAGGCATCAGAATTTGAGAGATGCTTAGGCGAGGCAATGCCAAGAAAAGGTTGGGAATGAAATAAAAAATATTAAGGTCTTATATATATATAATAAATATTCATAAATGTACCAAGCAAACATGTACATAAATATATAAACCACATGTCTGAAGCAGCACAGGAAAACAGCCCTGGAACCATTTTGGCTCCCAGACTGACCAAATGTTTTCTCTGCAAGGTCAAAGGAAAATGGAAAAGATTCCCCATTGTCTTTTCATTCACAAAACCTATCTAAAGGGTATTATCTGTGTATGAATAGGGTGAGCCTGTGACCTGGCTCAAGAACTAAGTATTTATCATTACAGAAGAATAGCCAGGCTCCCCAGGGTATCCAACAAGTAAGCATTAACAGGTAACACATGAGATAAACAATGACAGGAGGTAAACAACGTACTCAGATTTCTCTTGAGCTACACCCCTTCTGTGATGTAAGTATGATGTTTCTGGGGGTGGTCTTGGACTCCAAGGCAGGCAATTTAAAATGTCTATATATGGGTGGACACACTTTTGTTCTGGGTCCTCCTCCTCCTCCTGCGTGTGAGGGTAGCACCCTGTTCCAACAGTTCAATAAAAATCAGGTTTACTAGATGCTTTGCTTCTCAATATTCTCTGGTTGGCCTCTGTTATTTTCTCCGACAGATGGAGAACCTGCAAAGGACTCTAAAAGGGCTCTTGTGTCCCCCATAAGGGCAGCTTTTCGTTTATTACAGAAACCACTGGTCTAAGGTGCTCTTTGGCGCCTAGTTTATCCACCCCAGTTTCGAAAGCAGGTCTGCTTCCTGAGCATCTCTCAGAAGTGAGCCAGGGCCCAGCTGGTTTTGCCCGCTTAGTGGGGCGGGCGACTCTCGCCACGGAGCTCCGCAGAGGAGTTCAAGGCGAGGGCCGAGATAAGCGGCGTCCGGGCGCCCAACCGGCCGCGTTTGTCCCCGCTGGTGCGGCGGGCGACTCGGAAGCGGGGTGCCGCGCGGTGCTCCTCTTCCCTCCCGCGCTCCCCTCGAGGGCCCGGAAGCAGCTCCGCTTCCGGAGCCAACGCCACTCGAAGCTCATTCCGGGCGCCACGCCGGAGGCCCGCCCGAAACCTTCCCTTTCCCCCCTTACCTGGGGTCGGTTCAAGGCCTGGTTTCTAAAGAAGTTCCACAAGGCCTCGTTTCTAACGGAGACCAGCACTTCCGGCGCGCCACCCGGAAGGGAAACGCGACGCTTCCCCCCCCCCACCTCCCGAGTTCAGGGAGGGCAGGTTGGGAAGGCGTAGAGATAGTGAAAAGTGTAGAGTCGCCCGACGCGGCTTAATGATTTGGAAGACGGGAGGTCGCGCCTTGCGGAAAAGCCTGCGTAGAAAAAGGAAAGGAGGAAGGAAGGAAAGGAAGATTCAGTGATTTTAGCCCTGTTTGATTGAGGAGGCGAGCGGGGAAGAAAAAGGAAAACAGAAACAAAAAAACAGGCGCACCGTATATCTGGTTGCAGCAAAAGATTATAGTGCACAACAGCAGACAGTAGCCTTCTGCTCCGTCCCAGGCGAGGCAGGTTGTGGTGTTTTGTTTTGTTTTTAAAATTATAAACTGGAAAAAAATCCAAAAAACACATTTCCCACACAAAATAAGAGCAGCGTTAGAAAGCACAGGAACTCCTGCGTTAGCTGTTTTTTTTGGGGGGGGGAGGGGGTCTATGCTCCCCAATCGCACAGCTATGCTAAAACCCAAGATCCCCCCCTCCACCCGGTCATTTCTGGGGACAGCTCTAACTTCCGCCCTAGAGGATATTTTTATTAAAACAAAACAGAACCCGCCATATTACAGCATTATCTGTCAGTCGGCACCCGCTTGTATATCTCTGTGTTTGTTCCTAACCACCCATTCGCCAAGCCGACCGACAAAAGGACCCGGATGTATTATGAATGAAACGTCAGAACTGCTTCTGTTCATTCAAACCGACAGAGGTCCGTCTCCAGCGCCTCGTTCTACTGGCGACCAGCCGGATGCCTGAACAATCGCGCAGGGAGGCGCGACGCAGCAACTCTTAAGCAACGAGGCTGCAATCCTATGCACACCCTTAGCGAGAACTCGAAATTTATTTATTTATTTATTTTCCGCCCTCAGGGAAAAGGGTGCGAGGAATCCTATTTGGAATAAGGGAATTTCCCTTAAAAAAGGGAGACGTTGACAGCTATGAAAATAATAATAATTAAAAACAAACATTAGTAGAATTAAAATCATATACAGATAAAAAATCTGTTTAAAGTATACAAATAATTACAATAAAACCAGCAGGGCACCAGCCCTTTCATTAAAAGCAGCCGGTTCCCAAAAAAAGACTGTTGGAACAAGAAGAAGAAGAAGAGTTTGGATTTGATATCCCGCCTTTCACTCCCCTTCAGGAGTCTCAAAGCAGCTAACATTCTCCTTTCCCTTCCTCAAGAAGATTGTCATTTGCTGGTGGAAGCACAATAAGGAGGGTGTCAGTCTGTCTTCTCTGGGGAGGGAGTACCAGAGTCTGGGAGCAGCCACCACCAAGAAGGCCCTGTCCTGTGTCCTCACCAAGCATACCTATGAGGGTGGCAGGACTGAGAGAAGGGCCTCTCCTGACGATCTCAGAACCCAGGCAGGCTCATATGAGGAAATCCCGTATCTTATGATTCCAAGCTGGATCTTGGATCAACTTCCCTTTGGCATGCTCTCTTATTCTTCCCTGGCTGCTTCAGCCCAAAATCTCATTTTCTCATCACTACCTGTAGCCACCCATTACAAAAATAAACTTTTACACTCAGCCATCGCCTGAAAAGGACGCGGGTGGCACTGTGGGTAAAACCTCAGCACCTAGAGCTTGCCAATCGCATGGTCGGCGGTTCGAATCCCCGCGGCGGGGTGAGCTCCCGTCTTTCGGTCCCAGCTCCTGCCCACCTAGCAGTTCGAAAGCACTAAGTGCAAGTAGATAAATAGGTACCGCTTTATAGCGGGAAGGTAAACAGCGTTTCCGTGTGCTGCGCTGGTGCTGGCTCGCCAGAGCAGCTTCGTCATGCTGGCCACGTGACCCGGAAGTGTCTCCAGACAGCGCTGGCCCTTGGCCTCTTAAGTGAGATGGGCGCACAACCCTAGAGTCGGACACGACTGGCCCGTACGGGCAGGGGTACCTTTACCTTTACCTATCGCCTGAAAATGATCCACCTGCATTCTTCTGGCCCTTACCTGAAAACTCCCCCAAAGCATTCAGAATTTACCATTCAAACTACCATTGTCCCCTGAGAAACCTTTTTCTAAGGCAAGTGGCTCTACTTACAGTCTGTACTAGTTCCCCCTTCAGATAAATCTAAACTCTTTTGAACTTAGTCTGTTGTTAGTGTGCTGTTTACTGGTGGTGTTTTCCTGAATAAGCTAATTTCCTCTTTGGTGCAGTAACTTTTACTTTTGATTTATCTGTTGTCCTTGTTAACCCTCAGGTGCCAGATTCTGGAGTGCGTTCAGGTCTCAAGTATGGAAATATTTCTTTTAAAGGGGTTGTTTCAGGGCTGCATGTGAAAACTGAAGGCTTGCCTGCAAACTTCTTAACAATACTTTTACCTGTGCTTATGCTTATAAATATGTTGTAAGTCCCTTGGAGACCGTTTTTGTGTAAGAAGCAACTAGCAAGTCTTCTTCTTCATCATCATCTGAAGACCCTTCTCTGGGGGGCACTTTCAGGAGCTGTTTGGAGGATAATGAGTGAACATGTTGAATGGTTTCTTTAAATGTAAAGGTTCATCATTGTTCCACCCGATGTGTATGCCTTTAAGGGGCCAGAGCAAGGGCCAGAGCAAGATAACGAGACCCAGCTTTACAGCTGTGAAACATAGCAGGTGCTGCTGAGTTGTATTGATTAAGCTGTGTCAGCATTTGGGTGTAGTATATAAGGAGCAGCACCTAGCTCTCCCATTACCCTGGGGGATGGGTTGGTGGTTGGGTCATGTTTGTTTGTTGATGTATTTAGTGTAAAAGGAGTTTTTGTTTTTGTAATTAAAACCTTGTTTAAGTTATTTTTGAGTCCCTTTTTAATGCATGGTCTCCCCAGCAAGCTCTCTGCTGCGCTACTAAACTGCAAATAGCCAACACTTAACAATACTTTTACCTGTGCTTATGCTTATTAATATGTTGTAAGTCCCTTGGAGACTGTTTTTGTGTAAGAAGCAACTAGCAAGTCTTCTTCTTCATCATCATCTGAAGACCCTTCTCTGGGGGGCACTTTCAGGAAATGTTTGGAGGATGATGAGTGAACAAACCTCTTTAGCAGCAGCCTTCCCCCTGCTCCATCTGTGGAACGCTCTCCCCAGAGAGGCTTTCCTGGTGCCAACATTTTCATCTTTTCAGCTCCAGGCAAAGACATTCTCATTCTCCCAGATATCCTGCGTTGATACTGTCTTTTTCTGATAGTACTTGATCGTTTCTGGGTGCAGAAGGCTTCTCCTATTTTGTCACTCAAGTCTGTGTTCACATCACATTTACTTTGCTTCTGCTGTGATTTTACTCTACAACCCATAATTTATAAGCACATTTAGCACATGTGGCCAACCTAGTTGAATGGGATCCAGCAGGGCTCATCTTATATTCAGATGTGAAGCTGGTTTGGGGGTTATTTGATGGTTGTTGTTGTTTGCAGGTGGTGTTGAAGTAAGGGATTATTTTGCTCTACAATCCATAATTTAGGAGGTATGGATGGCATTTTTAACGATTACATGATATGCAATAGGACAAATTTTAAAAATCTGCATCAGAGCTTATTGGGGGGCACTTGGAAATGGGGTGTTCTATCCTGAAAAGCAATAGTTAGGGTTTTTGGCCTCCTGGGGGAATTTTTTACTGTCACATCTTACAGCCATTTTGGAAAGTGTCCCACATGCTCCATCTGGGCTCCCGGATGACTTGCAAACTTTCACATCCATATGGCACCAACTAGCAATTTATAGCTGGTAACTTCAAGTAAAATACTTGGGCTACATGGTGCTAATCTCCTGCAGTAATGGCTAAGATGCGGAGTTTTCACCTGAGGAATTTCTGGTTTTTCTCACACACTTCGCCTCTGTGCTATACCAGTGTTGTAAACAAAATCTGCCCTTATTTCCTTATGGGGTACACAAGAGCCCTTATAGAGTCCTTTGTAGGTTCTCCATCGGTAGGAGAAAATAACAGAGGCCAACCAGAGAATATTGAGAAGCAAAGCAGCTAGCAAGCATGATATTTATTGAACTGTTGCAACAGGGTGCTCCCCTCACACACAGGAGAGGAGGAGGAACCCAAAACAATGGCGCACAAGGCCTTATAAAGACTTTTGGAATTGCCCACCTTCAAACTTCAGACCACCCCCAGAATCATCATACATAGATCACAGAAGGGGTGTAGCCCAGGACACCCCTCCCCCAGTACATCATACATACATTACAGGGGGCGGTCTAAAACCGAATCCTGAGTGTGTTGTTTATCTCCTGTCTGGCAGGTTACCTGCTTGCATTATCTGGGTTTTGGCCACTCTTTTCTTATTATAACTACTTAATTCTTGAATCCAGGTCACAGGTCACAGGCTCGCCCTATTCACACCTTAAATGTGCCCTTAAGGCAGGATTGGTGAGCACAGAGACAATGGGTTTTTTTTTCAGTTTTCTTCCCTCCTTGCAGAGAAACATTTGGTCAGTTTGGGAGAGTCAAAATGGTTTCAGGACTGTCTTCCTGTGCTGCTTCAGACATGTGGTTTATATATTTATGTACGTGTTTGCTTGGTATATTTATGAACATTTATTATATATTTTGTTGTTGTTTAGTGCTGTCCGACTCTTCGTGACCCCATGGACCAGAGCACGCCAGGCACTCCTGTCTTCCACCGCCTCCCGCAGTTTGGTCAGGCTCATGTTTGTAGCTTCGAGAACACCGTCCAACCATCTTGTCCTCTGTCGTCCCCTTCTCCTTGTGCCCTCCATCTTTCCCAACATCAGGGTCTTTTCCAGGGAGTCTTCTCTTCTCATGAGGTGGCCAAAGTATTGGAGCCTCAGCTTCAGGATCTGTCCTTCCAGTGAGCACTCAGGGCTGATTTCCTTCAGAATGGAGAGGTTTGATCTTCTTGCAGTCCATGGGACTCTCAAGAGTCTCCTCCAGCACCATAATTCAAAAGCATCAATTCTTCGGCGATCAGCCTTCTTGATGGTCCAGCTCTCACTTCCATACATCACTACTGGGAAAACCATAGCTTTAACTATACGGACTTTTGTTGGCAAGGTGATGTCTCTGCTTTTTACTTCTTCCTTTTTGATATCTCTTGAGAGTAGCCAGAAACTGAAAAACAAGTTTACAAGTGCTGCAGAATTGAAATCATAGAACCAATGTGGTGTAGTTGTTAAGAGTATCAGACGAGGACTGGAGAGTCCCAGATTAAAATCCCCATGAAGCTGACTGAGTGACCCTTGGTCTCTCTGGGTCAATTCTACAGGGTTGTTGTGGGGAGAAAATGGGGAGGAGAGAAACTGAGCTCTTTGAATGAAGAGGCGGGATAAAAATGCTGTAAATAAATATTAGGTCAGGCAGAATATAAAGCCATGGTGTTATATCCTCTCCTAAAAGCCGGCAGTTGTCACCCAACCTTTACAAAGGACTTTATGGGTTGTGGTAGAGCTTTGAATGCAGAAGGCTCCCCGTTCAAGATCTGGTGTTTCCAAGTACAGGTGGGAATGTCCCCCGTCTGATACCCTGGGGAGTCGCTGTCAGGTGGTGTAGACATGGAGCAATGGTCTGACTCAGTATAAAGCAGTTTCATATGTTCCTGCACATCTTCAGCTCTTCAGATTTAATGGTCAATAACTTGCAACTCTAAAGGGGCAATATTTATTGCCTCTTAGGAAAAGCTTAGAGGGATGTGGGTGGCGCTGTGGACTAAACCACTGAGCCTAGGGCTTGCTGATCAGAAGGTCGGCAGTTCAAATCCCCGCGACGGGGTGAGCTCCTGTTGTTCGGTCCCTGCTCCTGCCAACCTAGCAGTTCGAAAGCATGCCAAAAAGTGCAAGTAGATAAGTAGGTACCGTTCTGGCGGGAAGGTAAACCGCCTTTCCGTGCGCTGCTCTGGTTTGCCAGAAGCAGCTTAGTCATGGTGGCCACATGACCCGGAAGCTGTCTGCGGACAAACGCCGGCTCCCTTGGCCAGTAAAGCGAGATGAGCGCTGCAACACCAGAGTTGTCCGCGACTGGAATTAACGGTCAGTGGTCCCTTTACCTTTGCTTAGGACATGCTTGCTTCAGAAGAAATGCAACCACCTTTTAGCAGACGAGCAGCTGACCTTGTGGAATGGCCTTTGCAATGCAGATATGACGTTTGGGCCAGTGTGGCTGGGGGCAATCTCACCATTAGCTTATGGAGGCACCAGGATCTGTTTGGATTCTTTTAAGTCCTCCCCTGCCCTCACCTATCTTTATATACTGCAAAATTCATCACTCCCTCTTCTTCAATGACAGCTATGTGCTTAATCTCTCTGACTCTTTTTTAACCTGAAAAACAGCAGTCATTGTGTTGTAGTGGTTAAGAGCGGTAGACTTGTAATCTGGGGAACCGGGTTCACGTCCCCGCTCCTCCACATGCAGCTGCTGGGTGACCTTGGGCTGGTCACACTTCTCTGAAGTCTCTCAGCCCCACTCACCTCACAGAGTGTTTGTTGTGGGGGAGGAAGGGAAAGGAGAATGTTAGCCCCTTTGAGACTCCTTCGGGTAGTGATAAAGCGGGATATCAAATCCAAACTCGTCTTCTTCTTCTTCTTAAAGATTGACAGTTTTATTGTGTTTATGTCACACATACGTAATACTCATATTCTAAGGTGCCACAGAACAGGGGGGGAGGTTGCTGTAGCAAAATAACGTGTCTCCCTCTTTTGGAATTCGTTTATGTTAATTTGTGAATTAGGTCCTGAGTCTAACAAGCCTGGTTTTGTCTGGGATGTCTTGATAAATATGAAAGCTGAATGTTCATGACTGGAGAAAAATATAGCCTGCTCATGAAGAAGAAGAAATGAAGCTGTTAGTCTACTGTGTGCCAGAAATGAAAACTTTCAGGTTTTTTTAGCCTGTTTAAACTCAAGATTTAAAAGGCCAAATTACGACCTGTTCATTCCCCCACCTGCACTGCAGCCATTGTCTCTTGGCAACAGTATTCGGCTTAAATGTAAAATAACAGTTTTCCTTTTGGTTTATGTCCTTGGAAACAGAAAGGGTAGACATGGTTTGTATAATAGCGGAGATAAAGGAATGAGGGGGAAAGGCCTAACTCCTTGTTGTGAGGGAAAATGTCTGCCACCTGCTGACGTTTCCCTGGTTATGTCTAGTAAAAGAAATGTGATGATGTGGCACCACATTTCTTTTATTATATGTTAGCAGTGAAATATTAGGTCATGGTACCTCACCCCATGAAGGGACGCGGGTGGCGCTGTGGGTTAAACCACAGAGCCTAGGACTTGCCGATCAGAAGGTCGGCGGTTCGAATCCCTGCGACAAGATGAGCTCCCGTTGCTCGGTCCCTACTCGTGCCCACCTAGCAGTTCGAAAGCACATCAAAGTGCAAGTAGATAAATAGGTACCGCTCCGGCGGGAAGGTAAACGGCATTTCCATGCGCTGCTCTGGTTCGCCAGAAGCGGCTTAGTCATGCTGGCCACATGACCCGGAAGCTGTACGCCGGCTCCCTCGGCCAATAAAGCGAGATGAGTGCCGCAACCCCAGAGTTGGTCATGACTGGACCTAATGGTCAGGGGTCCCTTTACCTTTACCTCACCCCATGCATGTTTTGTATTCCATTCACATACTCTATTCATCTTGTATATACTGCCATATTTTAAAACTGAAATAACCTTCCCCTGCTACTGCTGCCCTCCAAAGCATCTGCTGCCTGAGGCTGTTGCCTCACTTTGCCTAATGGGAGGGCTGGCCCTGAGAGTCCTGGTTTCTCTGTGAAAGGATATGGGGGGAGGGCATCTGTTTTCCAGTAGATATGGAATTAACACCTCTGAGCTTTTTTAAAAAACAACTTAGGCACGCAAACTGTTCTTCACAAAGGCCCTACTGAAATTCAGTTTGGTGGGGGGCAAAGCCAAAAGTATTAAAAGTAATTTATTGAAAAGCTAGTCAGAAGAAAACATTAGAAGATTCTGTGTTTTCTTCAACCAAACCTAAGGAGCCCATATACAGAATAAAACTGGATCCTGGTTGCACAGAATCATTGATCTTGCAGATAAACATCTTGGCAAGTGAATGGCTTTAAAATGCATAACAGCAACTAACGTCTGGAGCAGAATCAAATACAAAACAGAAGAGTCAGAAGAAAAATCCAGAAAGGAAGAGACCTATTTATCCAATAGCGGCTGTTTAGAAGGCAGACAGAGCTCTTCTTCCTTTGGCACACAGCAAAACTTGCATTCTTCATTTGAAGAGTGTTGTTTCACCAGGATAGGATGAACGACTGAATCATGAAGTCCACTGTCTTGAAAGGACATGGGGCTGGGCAATAAAATTACTAAAGTGAGGACCTTAAGTCTGGGTGTTCTGCATACCCCCACTTTCCTAATTGCCACCATCTCCCGATCCACAGGAGCTGTTTGTCAACAGGAGGAAAACTCCTGCTGCAAAGCCTCGCCTGTGTGGTACAGAATTTCTACATAAGAGGTGCATAGAGGAGGATCATGTACTTGAAAAGTTAAAGGGGAAAGATCCAAATGTCATCTGCATCCAAACACTTCCCGGCTTCACTGGGTGCTGCTCAGAGCAAAGTTATTTTTCAGCCCCAACCCTAAACAGCTAGCTGAGTCCCACTGTTTACACCTGAAACAGATGAGCCAGCAGATAGTTTCAGAATGGTGATCTTAAGTAGGCAAAAGTTCATTCTTCTTTGAGATAATTCTGAAAGTTCATGGCAGCTACAGACACCATGCTGCAGGAGTAGGCTATATAGTAAGTGAGGGAACAGTCCCTGCTTTTTCTTCTTTTTTTGTACTAGGAGAGGAATGAATTAGGACTACTCAGTTGTCTGGTTCTTCTACCTCTCATGTGTTTGTGTGATAGGCAGCTTGTAATGGCTCTGGGGCTGGTTAAGTGGCAATTGTACATTCTTCCCTTCTCATTTTGCCCCCTGGAAGCAGCAATGGGCATAGCAAGACTGCATGGAGGCCTCATCCTGCAGTTGGAACAAAGGCCAGGAGCAAGGGTATGGATTTCATTTAAGCTGAGCAGATCTCTGACCCTTGCCCGCTATGGGTTGTTCCTCCATTCTTGCAAATTTTGAAATGCCGAAAATTTAGCACCTATGACGTTTACCTAACACCTATGACAAAGGCTCGTAGTAGCCACCAGCCAGGTGGCGATTAAGCTGGACCAGTGATGACTCTGGATTTGGTACGTTATCAATATCTGGGCAGGAGCCACATACGAGGATTCAGAGGCAGCATTCAGAAAGGAAGGCTTTGGATGCAGAAGAGATTAGGTTCTACTGAGAGGAAGGTGGAACTACATAACCACGACCGGTTATGTACAGGTGGGTCTTTTGAGGTGTGCAGAACAGTAGGAGTGCCTCACAAACAGGAGATCTTAGAGCTCTCTCGATGGCTACACTCCCCACAAATGCCAGTTCTCAGCCCTAGGAGGAAGGCGTGCTGTGTTTGTGTGTGTCAGAGAGGCCAACTGTGCCCCTACAAGGCCAATGCTGACTGTTGTCTCATCTTCAGAAACGTCTCCGCCTGGGCAGCGAGGTCTTGTAGAGAGACTTGCCTTTGCCCTCAATGTAGGTAATGCTCATCTCTTTGGCATTAATCTCAATGTAGGCAAAGCCCCCTTGAGAAGAGGCGTGGCCATAGAAGAAGCGCAGGTATCCAGCAGGGACCTCGTGAAGGTGTTGCTTGTTGTCATCCATGAAGTTCCCCGCTCCACTTAGGACATAGCCCAAGCCAGTTTTGTCCTGGAGGTACTGTTGGAGAAAGGGAGGAACAGGCTCAAACCAGTATCACCGTCGCATAACTTTTGGGTGTCTCAAGCCATCATGTTGTTGCCTAGCTATCCCCCCACCCATGCATGTCGGGAAAACATTACAGTGGTACCTTGGTTCTCAAACGACTTAGTTGTTGAATAAATCAGCTCCCATTTGCGAACGTTTTTCAGAAGCCGAACGTCCAACGCGGCTTCTGCTTGAGTGCAGCTAATCGGAAGTCGTGCCTTGGTCTTCGAACGGTTTCAGGAGTCCAATGGACTCCCAGAATGGATTAAGTTCAAGAACCAAGGTACCACTGTATATGTGACAGACTTTTATTTAAGAGACAGGAGTACAACTTCCAGCCCATGGAACGATTGTGAGAAGCTCAGTATTGCTGAAGCTCAGTGTTGCTCCAAGAAGGAAAGGCAGTGGGGTGCAATAGTTGTAATGATCTTGTATGATTTATGTAGTACTTGTGATATTCTATTATGCTCTATTTTGTTATTGTTATTTATTGTTTATAAGCTGCTTTGGGATTCATTTGAATGAAAAGCAGCATAAGATTTCAAACAATCAACAATAATGATGACAAAGTATGTTCAAGATAGGCTGCCAGATAGGAAGAGACAGGGCTGTAGGGGCACATTTTTATGTTTAGCGCTCAATTTCTACACAGACCATCAAATGGCACAGTTCCTCTCCAGAGGGACTTGCTCCCTGTGCCAGACATACCAAGTTGGGAGAAGGAAAGGAATGGAAAAGACGAGAGAGGTTGAGGAAAGGGTACGTCAGGTGGCAGCAGGAGAGGCGCTCATGGCGCAAGGGTCAGTGGTCAAAGGGAAGTGCTGGTGAAGAGACACAAGACATGGGATGGAAAGTTAGCGAAGGAGCCCATCTGCTTCCCCACTTCTACCAGCTCTCCCAGTGTGCAATGAAAAGCAAAAGGCAGGTGTTAGGATAGCATTATGAGGCAGAAATTGGAGGAAGGGGGAATAAGGCCGTAAACCAAGAGCAACACCCCAACAGTCACAGGTCATGAACTAAGAACTTCCTTCTCACACTTTTCAATAGCACTTGTGGCTCGTTTAGTGTGTATTTTCTCACTCATTCCTGCAGCAAGATCATTATTCTTCCCCTCTTTTACAGGTGGGAAACAGAGCTGGACCATAAAGAAGGCTGATCACCGAAGAATTGATGCTTTTGAATTATGGTGCTGGAGGAGACTCTTGAGAGTCCCATGGACTGCAAGAAGATCAAACCTCTCCATTCTGAAGGAAATCAGCCCTGAGTGCTCACTGGAAGGACAGATCCTGAAGCTGAGGCTCCAATACTTTAGCCACCTCATGAGAAGAGAAGACTCCTGGAAAAGACCCTGATGTTGGGAAAGATGGAGGGCACAAGGAGAAGGGGACGACAGAGGACGAGATGGTTGGACAGTGTTCTTGAAGCTACCAGCATGAGTTTGACCAAACTGCGGGAGGCAGTGGAAGACAGAAGTGCCTGGCGTGCTCTGGTCCATGGGGTCACAAAGAGTCGGACACGACTAAACAACAACAAAGGAAGCCCAAGACCCAGGCCCAAATATACCACTTTCTACCACAAGGGGCATCGTCTTTATAGGAAGTGTGCAAGAGCAAAGTTCTAAGCAAGGATGATGGGGCTCTCTCTTCCTTGGCTCACCTGCAGGTTGTGATCATGGCCGCACAAGTAGGCTGTGGCCTTGTATTTCAGCAGCAGCGGCTGCAGATGCTTCACCAAGCATGTCGTTGGGCCGTGCTTCCCCACCGACCACACTGGGTAGTGCCCAGCCACCAACAAGTAGTCATCCTGAGAGTTGGCCAGCTGTTTGCGGAGCCAGGACATCTGGGAGCGGGCCGCGCCCAGTTCCTGTGGGTGCAGGGGCTGCTCATTTTGGAAGTCATCCGAATTGCCGCAGATAGTCACCGTGTCGATCATGACAATGGAAACAGTGGCATTGGTGCCGGGCACCTTGAACCTCAGCCTGTAGTAGTTTTTGGGGAAGTGCCTGGTAGCGAAAAGAGCGGGAGGCAAAACAGTCAGAAAGGTGCTTCTATATCACAAGGCCTTTTTTGTGGGATGCTTCCACAGCCACAAAAGCTCTGTGGATGAGATGGGATGGGGAACCCACGCAAGGGCTGGCCTAACCAGACATCAAAACAGAAGGGGGATTACTTTGAGCCAGGACTTGTACCTGTAGATCTGCAAGGATCACCTCACAGCTCCAAGGAGAAGCAGCACCTCTGCAGGCACTCTGGGCCAAACTACTGTATTTTTCACTCAATAAGGCGCACCTGACCATAAGGCGCACCTACATTTTTTTTTTGAGGGGGGGGGGGAATTCAAGAAAAAAAATTGCAGCTTTTGGGGGCTTTTGCGGGAGGTGGGGGAAGTGAGAGAGCTTCACTCTGTCCCTTCCCCCACCTCCCGCAAAAGCCAGGGATAGCCGTGCGAAGCCTCCGCAGGGCAGTGGGATGAAGGCTCCCCGCTGCCCTGTGGAGGCTTCGCGGGCTACCCCAGAGCTGCTCAGGAGCTTGTCGGGGCTGGCGGGGGAAGCCCAGCGTTCCCCCACCGCCAGCCCCAAAGAGCAGGTCGGGGAGCTTTTCGGGGCTGGCGAGGGAAGCCTGGGTCCCCCCCCCAGCCCCAGGGACCACACATTCGCTCCATAAGATGCACAGACATTTCCCCTTAGATTTTAAGAGGGAAAAAGTGCGTCTTATGGAGCGAAAAATTCAGTAGATGCAATCTGGGAGGTCTATGAAGTGTCTCCTGGTCGGCTTTTAAAAAATTATGTAATGCAGCTGGCAGGGCTCCAAATTTCATTGGAATAGAGGCAGGAGAAGAAATCACTAACTCCCTCCCCGGCTGTTTGTGCATTAAATATCCTCAAACTGTTTTTCTCCTCTGAGAGGAAGAGATATGTGGGCCTAGGTATCTTTTCCCCCGTGGGTATGAAAGCAGCTGTCTGGTATGTGGGTGTGAATTTTTTTTTGGGGGGGGGACACCATCGGGAAACGTTTAAGTACTTCCCTTTCTCAGCTCTTCTGCATATCACTGGAGAATAATCTACAAATTCAATGCCTCCGTTGCTCTGATGAGAACACAATATACAATTCAGCTAAGTTGTGTGACCTGCTTTTTAAAGGACTATGCAGTCAACTAACAGAGCAATCGCACACTTGTCTACTCCAGAATAAGTCCAGTTCAGTACTGAGGCCCCAAAGGCCTGTGACCAGCACCCTACCTTGCCCTTTGAATGCATTTTATAGAAACATTGGCTCTGAAATGATAGAATAATTAAATAAAGTAAGCAATACCACAGAATCCTCTGCAACGTCCAGGTGTTTGATGCTGAGAGAGATTTATCCTCAAGGAAAGAGGTTTGATAGCCACTTAAGGTTTTTTATTGCTTAATCTGTGGCGCAAATTTTAAATCAATGAAGCTGCGGTGTGAGGGCGGCTTTGCTTGGTTGTTTGTTTTGTTACTATAACAGAGAATTAAAAACAAATATTAAAGATGCTTAATAAGACCTGGTGTACCACAAAGTGTGGTATATTGCATTTAGGGAGAAACTAACTCCAAAACCGACAAGACAGACAAAGTTACTTCAACTTGGAGCTCTTTTATTAATTATGTTAATAGGGAAGACAATACACAGCATCCTCCCTCATACTGTATACAAATTTGGAATGCTTAATATCTGTATTTGTGTTTCGGTATGGTATTTCCATCATGTTCACCACATTACTGGCAATGATCTTATCCTTTTATATCTTGTCATGTAAACAATTGCCCTGATCTTATTTATCGTCTTCCACTTATAGTAGAGTTTTGCTGAAGTGTCATTATGGAGGATGCACTGTGTATGGTCTGCTAACAAAAAAAGTATTTTTTTTGGAGGGAGGGGAATAGTTATTTGTTCTATTGTTTCTTGATGTAATGCATTCATCAACCTTTGCAGTAGCTGTTACTGACTCAAAAACGACAGGTATCAGTAGTAATCAAGGCATTTCTTATTATTCTCCACCTGGATTTTAGTCTTGAAAATAAATAAGAATATACAAAAAAGAGAGCTGGTGTACTCTAGTGGCTAAGGGTGTCGGCTGCAAAGCCTACAGATCAAATCCTACTTCTGCTGTGAACATACTAGGGGGCCCACGATGCAGACAAGGACACTGGAAGACATTCCCCTCCTCCCGCAAAATCTGTCCCCTAACTTTTCCACACCTGGTAACTCTCTGCACCTTAACTAACAACAAGAACAAATCACAGGCCTTACAGCAGTGGAGTCTTACCAACGTTTTGAGATCTTGCTATAGGCAATCTGTGCAGTGACATTCCCCGAGTGGTCGTGGTTCCCAGCCAGCACATACCAGGGCAAGTTGCGCAATGAGGGTGCCTGGAAAACTGATTCGAATGTCTCCTGCAACAGAAAAAGGAGCGCCTTTGTTTATGGATTCCTCCGGACAATCTGTTTATTGCGCATTCATCCGGATTTGCTTGCAGAGAGCTTACGCTGAAGGTTAGACCATGCCTCTCTTCCTTCCTTTGCTTGTACAAAGGTTATGCACCTCCCCATTTATAATTTGCCCACCCCACACTTTTCAGTGCAATCTCCCTGTTGCTTTCCTTAACCACACAAAGGTGTTTTTTTAACGTGGATTTGTTGCGTTAAGGCAACAGAAAGCTATAATCCACTCTTCGTATGAGCCTAAATTTATGGCATGCGCCTGAAAAACTCCAGTAAAATACTGATATTTTGAATAGTGCCCAAATATGTATGTGCATTCAAGAAAGAGAAGATTTATATGGCGTGGTTTTCAGTTGTGCCTTATCTAACATATAACCATTTCCACAGCAACATTTCATTTCACTGACACTCTCTAAACGTTTTAATAAAAGAAGTAAAAATTAAAATAAAAGTGGTGCCTGAAATTTGCTTTTCCCTCCCCCCCCCTCCATTTTCTCCTTTTGTGCTATGTCTTTTAGATTGTAAGCCTAAGGGCAGAAGCAGGAGCTTATATTGATCTGATCAGGCACTCCAGGAGCCGGTTTGCCTGAAGGGCGAGGTTCTAAATCATAGAATCGCAGAACTGTAGAATTGGAAGGGACGCTGAGGGTCATCCAGACCAACCCCCTACAATGCAAGAATCTCAACTAAAGAATCCAAGACAGATAGCAATCCAACCTCTGCTTAAAAGTGCGGATTGCTAAGTGTGCTGGTGGTGCCTTGGATACACTTTAAAATAAATTCATGTAGGTAATTCAGGATTTGGGGTGGGGGAGATTCACAGAGCCTAGGGCTTGCCGATCAGAAGGTTGGCGGTTCAAATCCCTGTGACGGAGTGAGCTCCCGTTGCTTGGTCCCTGCTCCTGCCAACCTAGCAGTTTGAAAGCACATCAAAGTGCAAGTACATAAATAGGTACCACTCCGGCAGGAAGGTAAACGGCGTTTCCATGAACTGCTCTGGTTCGCCAGAAGCAGCTTAGTCATGCTGGCCACATGACCCGGAAGCTGTACGCCGGCTCCCTCGGCCTGTAAAGCAAGATGAGTGCCGCAACCCCAGAGTCACCTGCGACTGGACCTAACAGTCAGGGGTCCCTTTACCTTTGGCACTCAACTCCAGTGCCTCCAACTTGGGACTGTGTAGGCTGTGTGCTGTGTCCAAGTTAACACAGCAGCACTCTGAGCTTTATCTTATTCCAGGACTCCTGATGGAGTCCCCAGCCTCTCCACACACACCCCACCTCCTGACCTGAAAGCGCTTGTCGTAGGCGTCCTGCACACCACTGTAGTAGAAGTTGTCTCCGAGGGACAAGATGAAGTCTGCTCCCAGCGAAGCTGCCGTACGCCCCATCTCATTGGCCACGGCTGCCTCGCGGGCTGTGTAGAAAGGAGCATTGGGCACCCCACCCCAATCTCCCACAGCGATGAAGCGCAAGGAAGAGCGCGCATGAAGGCATGGCAGGGCAGCCAGGAAGAGCCCCAGAAGGTAGAGGAAGTTCATCATCTGAAAGCGAGGAAATGAGATGACAACATGGGGATAGAGAGAACATTTACCTGGAAAAGGTCAACCACAGATCTGCTTGCGTTACTACTATCTTTTCCAGGAAGCCCCTTCCCCTCGACTCTGAGCACTGCTCTCCTTTCTGGTCTCACTACTAAAGAGTTTTATTCCACGTTTGTTCCAAACACACATTCCTGAAAAATTGCAGTGCTTATTAAAAACAACCAGAGTCCAATAGGATGTAACATTTCAACTTCTTCTGTGCTTCTTTTTTTGTGTTCTTTGAAATGATGTCAATAATAATAATAATAATAATAATAATTTATTATTTATACCCTGCCCATCTGGCTGGGTTTCCCCAGCCACTCTGGGCGGCTTCCAAAAGAATATTAAAATACTGTGATACATCAAACATTAAAAGCTTCCCTAAACAGGGCTGCCTTCAGATGTCTTCTAAAAGTCTGGTAGTTGTTGTTCTCTTTGACATCTGCTGGGAGGGCGTTCCACAGGGACGGCGCCACTACCGAGAAGGCCCTCTGCCTGGTTCCCTGTAACTTGGCTTCTCGCAGTGAGGGAACTGCCAGAAGGCCCTCGGTGCTGGACCTCAGTGTCCGGGTAGAACGATGGAGGTGGAGACGCTCCTTCAGGTATACTGGACCGAGGCCGTTTAGGGCTTTAAAGGTCAGCACCAACACTTTGAATTGTGCTCGGAAACGTACTGGGAGCCAATGTAGGTCTTTCAAGACCGGTGTTATATGGTCTCAGCGGCCGCTCCCAGTCACCAGTCTGGCTGCTGCGTTCTGGATTAGTTGTAGTTTCCGGGTTACCTTCAAAGGTAGCCCCACGTAGAGCGCATTGCAGTAGTCCAAGTGGGAGATAACCAGAGCATGCAGCACTCTGGCGAGGCAGTCCGCAGGCAGATAGGGTCTCAGCCTGCGTACCAGATGGAGCTGGTACACAGCTGCCCTGGACACGGATTTAACCTGTGCCTCCATGGACAGCTGTGAGTCCAAAATGACTCCCAGGCTGCGCACCTGGTCCTTCAGGGGCACAGTTACCCCATTCAGGACCAGGGAATCCTCCACACCTGCCCACCTCCTATCCCCCAGAAACAGTACTTCTGTCTTGTCAGGATTCAATCTCAATCTGTTAGCCGCCATCCATCCTCCAACCGCCTCCAGACACTCACACAGGACCGTCACCGCCTTCACTAGTTCTGATTTGAAAGAGAGGTAGAGCTGGGTATCATCCGCATACTGATGAACACCCAGCCCAACCCCCTGATGATCTCTCCCAGCGGCTGCATGTAGATGTTGAAAAGCATGGGGGAGAGGACAGAACCCTGAGGCACCCCACAAGTGAGAGCCCAGGGGTCTGAACACTCATCCCCCCCACCACTTTCTGAACACGGCCCAGGAGGAAGGAGCGGAACCACTGTATGACAGTGCCCCCAGCTCCCAGCCCCTCAAGACGGTCCAGAAGGATGTTATGGTCGATGGTATCAAACGCCGCTGACAGATCCAGCAGAACTAGGAAACAGCTCTCACCTTTGTCCCTAGCCCGCCGGAGATCATCAACCAGTGCGACCAAGGCAGTTTCAGTCCCGTGATGAGGCCTGAATCCCGACTGGAAGGGATCCAAATGGTCCGCTTCTTCCAGGCGTGCCTGGAGTTGTTCAGCAACCACTCGCTCAATCACCTTGCCCAAGAATGGAAGATTTGAGACTGGGCGATAGTTGGCCATCGTGGCCGCATCTAAAGATGGTTTTTTAAGAAGCGGTTTAATAACCGCCTCTTTCAGCGGGTCTGGGAAGGCTCCCTCACGGAGGGAAGCATTCACCACCCCACGGAGCCCATCGCCCAGCCGTTCCCGGCTAGCTTTTATAAGGCAGGATGGGCAAGGATCAAGGAGACAGGTGGTTGGTTTCACTCGTCCAAGCAGCCTGTCCACATCCTCGGAGGTAACAGATTGGAATTGATCCCATGCAATTTGACTAGACAGGACTCTAGCACTCTCCCGCCCCGGCCCTGCTCCCACGGTGGCATCTACCTCTTCCCGAATCTGAGCGACTTTATCTGCAAAAAACTTTGCAAAATCATTGCAGGAGATCATGTGGCCTGTACTGGGCCCCGATGTAGCAGGTGGTTCCGCTAAATTGCGGACCACCTGAAAAAGTCTCCTGCTGCTGTTTTCTGCAGATGCAATAGAGGCGGTGAAGAAAGTCTTCTTCGCCGTCGCTACCGCCACTTGGTAGGCTCGACATTGAGCTCTAACCTGTGTCCGGTCAGCTTCAGAATGGGTCATCCGCCACCGGCGCTCTAGCCGTCTCAACGATTGTTTCATTGCCCTCAGATCCGTGGAAAACCACGGGGCTGTCCGGGCTCCATGCAATCGGAGAGGGCGCTTCAGAGCCAAACAGTCAATAGCCCTGGTTAGCTCCACATTCCAGCGGGCCACCAGGGAATCAGCTGAAAGGCCATCAACATGGGATAAAGCATCCCCTACCACTCTCTGGAAACCATTTGGATCCATTAAGTGGCGGGGCGGACCATCCGAATCGGTCCCACCTCCCTGCAGAGGGGAAGGGTCGCGGAGAAGTCAAGTTGCACCAGGAAGTGGTCTGACCATGGCACTTCTTTCGTTTCGCTTTTACTTAGTGTCAGATCACCAACATCCATAGAGGTAAACACCAGGTCCAAGGCATGTCCGCGGCTATGGGTTGGGCCAAACTTATTCAGGGACAGCCCCATGGAGGCCATGCTTTCCACGAAGTCCCGAGCGGCCCCTTGTAAGGTCGTGTCGGCATGGATATTAAAATCCCCTAGGACAACCAAACTAGGTGTCTCCAGGAGAACATCCGCCACGACCTGAAGCAGCTCGGGCAGGGAATCCTTGGTGCAGCGGGGAGGTCGGTACACCAAAAGGAATCCTGTACTGCCCCTATTGCCCAACTTCCAGAGCATGCACTCAGAGAACTGGGTCTTCCCAATAGGACGCCTGGTGCAAACTAATGACTTCCTAAAAATCACTGCAACCCCCCCTCCCTGCCCACAAGGCCTGGGTTGCTGTGCGTAAGAGAAACCTGGTGGACAAACAGCGGCAAGAACAGGCCCATCTGCTTCATCCAACCAAGTCTCTGTTACACATGCCAGGTCAAGTCCTCCAACCATGATCAAGTCATGGATACCAGTGGTCTTATGAATCATTGACCTGGCATTGCACAGCAGCACCTTCAGGTCATGTGGGTATCCCTTGCTGATTCTAGTATCCGTCCAGTCAGGACCAGACCCGGAGGCAGGGATAGTCCTCAGACAACGACTAAACCTGCCTCCTCTGTAATGACATAGTCTGGTCTTAGCGTAACTCCTCCTCCTACCCGTGATCACTGAGATCGGTTGTCCCAGCGCATCCCCCTCTGTGGAACATGCCCCAGCCATTTTGTTGGCTGGGACCCACTCCCCGGCAGCCCTGACCCCTCCCCTTAAGAACAAAATAAGACCTTAAAACAATAATTAAAAAAACCCAGAAAACAAAAAACAATACAAATAAAAAACTGTAAAAATTACAAATCCATCAAAATCAAACAAATTCCCAACTAAACATCCATCCCACCCCCATCCCTGCATATACAAAAAAAATAAAAAATAAAAAGGAAAAGGAAAATTTTAAAACATTTTAAAAAGAACTCTGCGCCCCTCCGGATTCCCCTGGGCCGCAGCAGCAGTGACAGCAACCATCCCTGTGAGGCCTGTCAGGCCCCGCCCTGGGCCAGGTGGTGAGTGCCAGGAGCAGGGCCCTCAGGCACTCACACAGGGGAGTCCTCCTGGGCAGCAGAGCGTAGCAGTCCCTGTGAGGCTTCAGGCCCCGCCCCGGGCCAGGTAGGTGGTAAGCGGCAAGAGCAGGGCCCTCAGACCCTCACACAGGAGAGTCCTCCTCAGCGAACAGCAAAGACCCCCAACAAATTATTTCTAGATATTGCTAATAAGGCATAGAATGCTTCTAGGTGAGGGTTTAATATTACAAATGGGTCACTTGGATACTGCAGATCGTGGGACACTGGCAGCAGTTCCCCTCCCCACAACACTGGATTTCCATGCATGGGGTAAATAATGATTAAATGGTGGGGGAAAGATATGGATGGCAATATAATGTGGCAATATTGTGTGGATGCTGTGAAAAACTTGCATGTCTGAGCAACAATAAACAGCCACTTGGAAGCACCCATAGAAAATGGAACTATTTCTCCACCAACCCAAGATTTTTGTCCTGCCAGCTAGCTAATGTGCCTAACCAGCCAATTACCCATTAAAAAAATCAAATTGATACCTTGCCCAGTGTGTTGTTTTTCAATTGATACCATACTCGGGTAGGTGGGTGTGTTCTTCAAATTTACAAACACTCATACAAAAACCCAGTGACCTTTTAAATGTCCCTTGTGAAAATGCCTTTCTATTGATACACAGGGCAGAATTCACTTAACAAACCTGTCAGTGAAAGGCCTGCACCAGGACTTCTGTTTGTGTAACAGGACTTTCCCACAAAATTGTTTCTGAGGGGTGAGTGGGAAGGGGGGAGAGAGAGACATTCTGTCTGGCAAGTGGATGTGGTTGTGCAGATAGAACATTAATACAGTATAGCATGTTGAATTCCACCCATATTTATCTAATCACGCCCTGAAAAAACAATCATTGCTCACGCCAAGATTGCATTAGAAAGCTATTGTCATTCATAGTGCATTCCTGTGCATGTCTACTGAGAATTTGTGGACCTGCCTGAGGGGCACTCATCTCAATTCCTTTGTTTACAGATTAGACACCACTGGACATTCACTCTGATATGTTTGGGGAGACACTAGAGGATGTTGCATCAAATCAAGAGCTATCACACTTTTCTTACCCCAAAAATTTGATATTTAGGGGAAGCGGGTGTGATTCACAAGAGCTTCAAATCCGCTTTAACTGCACAGCCTAAATTTGATGTGAATGAATAACAAAGAATATAGAAGTCTGGTAGCGCCCTTACTCTCAGCAACTGAGCACACAAGATTGCAGCCTTAAAACATGGTAGCGCACAGCCATGCTGTGGTATGGAGAGATATACAAAGCAGAAGAGGTTATATACCATTTGCTAATCTCCTAGATACTGGGATTTATTAAAAAGCCACTACCTTTCCTATTTTGCAGTATTATGTCAACATCAAACCCAGATTTGGTGATTAAAGAGAGTAAAAAATACAGGTGTTCCTTTTTCGCAGTGCAATTAACAAAAGAACGTAAGAATAACCCGCAATGGCCCATCTGGTCCAGCACCCTGATGTCACAAGGAGGTGAAACAACCAGAACTGTACACGGTACAGTGCAACCTCGGGTTGCGAACGTGATCCGTGTGGCAGGCACGTTCACAACCTGCAGCGCTGTGTCTGCACACGCGCGTGACGTGATTCAGCGCTTCTGCTCATGCTCAAAGCACGATCCTGTGTTTATGCACATGCGCGAGCGCCGAAACCTGGAAGTAACCCATTCTGGTACTTCTGGGTTCGACGCGGTCCGTAACCCGAAAACGCACAACCCGCAGCATTCACAACCCAAGGAATGACTGTATTCCAAATGTGATCACACCATAGATTTGAATAATGGTGTTATGATATTGACAGTTTTGTTTTCAATTCCTTTCCTAATGAACCCTAGCATGGAATTTGCCTCTCTCTTTTTTTTCTTTTTTGTAGCTGCCGCACACTGGGTCGACATTAGGATTAGGGTCCTGGATTAGGATTAGGGCTGTAACAATCCCAGTGCTGCTCTGTCTGATTTCCCTTCTGCTGAACTTTAAACATCCCTTATTATTCAGTTTCACAGCTTTAATTCTTTGTTCTTCAGAGACCTCCTTAGTCTAGGTTTGCACTTGGCTTGCCAGAGCTTGTGCTCTCTCTTTGTCATCACCCAAAACACTCACTTCTTAAAGAAAGCCTTGTTGCATTGTACGGCTTTCTTGACTCTTCGATTTAACCACGCTGGCATCCCTTCCATTTGCTCTTGTTTGCGCCTTTCCTAATGGGTAGCCCGTGTTTTTAGGCTGTATTAACATGGGCGTCCAACCGGTGACAAAAGGTTGAAACGGATCCATCGATTGCGCTCTTCTCCGGGAGGGGACAAAAGGAAAAGGAAGGGGGGGGCAGATCAGGGGCTACCTGTGAGCGAGGTAGGAAAGCAAGTACGTAGAGGAAGCACCAGAAAGAGAAAGAGAAAGACTTTGCAACAAGAGGAACTTACTTGCTGTTTTTGTTAAGATCCGTCTTGTCAAAACTTATGTGCTCGGATCCGATCGTCCTGGGTGTTAACTCAGCACCTCTCTCTCCAGGGAGTCTCTGTCATCTGAAAAGAACTGAAGCACCTCCGCTGCAACAGGGGGCATTTTATCAGTAACTGGAAACGGGAAATTGGGGCGGATGTGGGGGGGGGAGTTCCCTCCAGCACCAGTCAGGATTGAAGCAGAAAAACTGAGTGAGATGGAGAAACAGATGCTGAAGTGATGACCCACACTAACTTCTCTCTCTCCCCCCCCCCACCACAAGCCATGTGACACTTCTTCCTCCTAGCAGACAGAGGTTAAAGATTCTTTAACCTGCCTTCGCGGCAGAGCTGATAAGGAAACTGCGGCTCAGCCCCTTAACCCTTTCGCAGCTCCTCACGTTGGATGCCACAAAGGCTAGCTTACTTTTTTGAAGAAGGACTCAGGAAACGCACCGTTTGAACGAGACCGGCGGACTAGCTGTGGGACCTTCTGATAAGATACTGTGATAGGAATTTTGAGGTCTTAGATATATGGTAATGTTCATAAGCGTACCAACCAAGCACGTACATAGATCAGCACAGGAAGACCAACCTGGAACCATTTTGATTCCTAAACTGAGCAAATGTTTTCTCTGCAAGGTCAAAGTGGGAAACCTCCTCATTGTCTCTTTCCTCACAAATCCTGTCTTAAGGGTATGTCTGTGTTTGAATAGGGTGTGAGCCTGTGATCTGGCCCACAAACTAAGTATTTATCATTACAAAAGACTGGCCAGGCTCCCCAGGGTATCCAATCAAGTAACCTGCCAGACAGGAGAATAACAACATTCAAATTTCTGTTTTAGACCGCCTTTTCTGTGATGTAGGTATGATTTATCTGAGGAGTGGTCTTATGTTACACCCCTTCTGTGATGTATTTATGATGTTTCTGGGGGTGGTCTTGATCTACAGGGTGGCAATTTCAAAAGTCCATATAAGGCCTTGCACGCCGTTGTTTTGGGTTCCTCCTCCTCTCCTGTGGGTGAGGGGAGCACCCTGTTGCAACAGATCAATAAAGATTAAGCTTACTAGCTGCTTAGCTTCTCAATATTCTCTGGTTGGCCTCTGTTATTTTCTCCTACCAATAGGGAACCTACTTAAGGACTCTATATGGGCTCTTGGATACCTCATAAGGGAAAAGGGCAATTTTTGTTTACAACAATACAAAGCACAACGAATTGGTGAGCCAAAAGCCAGCGAGGCTAAACCCGGGAGAAACGAAAAGCTGGCTTTTCCATATGAAAGGGAAGGCAAATGAAGAAGCTGCCATGGCCTATAAGCCAGGGGTGTCCAAACTTTTTTCAAAGAGGGCCAGATTTGATGAAGTGAACATGCATGAGGGCCGACCAAAGTTGTTGACCTTTGTTTAGGGTTGAAGTTGTTGACCTTTGTTAAAGGGAGAAATCTGAGGGCTCCCTTGGACAGAAAAAACAAGGACACCAGCCAGGAATACCAGAGCAAAACAGCAGCCAGTAGGCTTGGTCTTTATTGAAGACTGTCGTGACAGGACTCCCACCTGCCACCAGGTGAAACAAGATGGAAGCTCTGAACAAAAGAGAACCCAAACTTTTATTAGCTGCTAATCCCCATGTTACACCCCACCCAAATTACATCACTAATACATCATGGATACATCATGAAAGGGGAGGTCTGGTGGCAGTAATCAGAGCATCCTGGACCCTGCCCCATGGTTCCCCTTGCCCTCCACCAAACACCCATCAAGTGTAAATGAAGTATATGCACTCCACGATCGTGAAGCTCTTTCTTACATAACCACTGTTGGAAACGGGTCCCAGTTTGCATGGCAAAATAAACTTCTGTCTGCTGCAAGCATCCTGTCTGTAAAACAGAGTGGCCTTTGATAATATCCTAGTTAGAGCCTGAGATTTCCTACCCCTGCTTTAGTGTGTTCTCTGCACCCTCTCCAGCTTGCAGGTTCATTAAACTGCCATAAGGGTTGGGAACTGTGTCCCACCCTATGTTGCTGGGTTCTGTTGTACTATTTGTCTTGAGAAACCCTGAAAGCTGCTTAAATAAAGACCAGACTATATTTGGAAAGGCTGATATTCTGTGAGCTGGCCTAGTGGATAAAAATAATATTAAAGTGGGGCAGCATAGGAGGAAGCTAAATAACCTTATGGAGGGTGAATCACCCTGTCCGGATGGAATTAGCCAGAAGATGAATGTACTAGTAGGAAGGTGGCCAGTCTAGTTCTTCTTGCCATTATAGAGAGTCAATGACCGAACATAGCTCTCTGGCTGACAACACCCATAATCCAGCCATAGATGTGTCTGCTGCTGCAGTCTGTGAATGTAGAAGCAATCCCATGCATGAAAGGACCCCCCAAATCAGGGGCGTAGCGTGGGTTGTCAGCACCCGGGGCAAGGCAAGTAATTTGCACCCCCTAAACCGTGGATTTGCGCCCCCTAACCCTAACCCCCAGATGTTGCGCCCGGTGCGGCCGGCCCCCCCTGCACCCCCCACGCTACGCCACTGCCCCAAATTCATAAGGTACAAGATTTTCAACCATAGCAACAGATGTAAAAATAAAAAAAGGTTGTTGGCTTCAGCCATGTGCTGTATAACGTAAATTGAGAATACAGGGGGAGAGAAAGCAGTTTGGTGGAGGGCATCTGATGAGTATTATGCTCTTTCAGCTCATGTCACATTATATATTTCTGCACATGTGCGGGTGCCAAGACATATTTCTATGCAAAATTGCACAAGTCAATAAAATGCAAAGCCGCAATCAAATTGTATAATAGGTTTATAACTTTTGTAAATCACTCAGAGGGCTTTGTTGATTGGCAGTATGAAAATGTTGGTAGTGTATAAATAAATACCGGTTTCTTTCTTTTTTTTCAAACGGCACAAATTTTGATCGTGCACTTTATGGAAGTGTTTGAGGGGTACTTTGTCTCCCAAAGGAGACAAAGTTGCTGTGCTGTGTTTCTGCTGCCCAAATGCCTGTCAGAAGGGCCGGACAGTTTGCCCTTTATGACAAGTCATCCATTTTCTTTTTCATATATAATAATTTTTATTAAATTTTCAATTTTGCAATTTCAAATAAACATTTTACAAACTTTAAAATATCCAGGGACTTCCCTTCTTCTCTTCCCATGGTTCATTTTATGTATCACATCCCTGCAAATTTTACTATAACCATTCGAATCAGTTTTCCTCTTTTACATCCATCAAAAATTATTTACTCTGCTGAATTATCTTAATGCTGCCAGCGTTTTCAGCTGTATACAGTTATTTTCCATATATTCAATAAATGCTTTCCATTCTTCTTTAAACATATGTTCTTCTTGCTCCCTTTATCTATATGTTAAACTTGCAAGTTGTGCGTATTCTGTCAACTGAATTTGCCAATCTTCTTTAATGGGACCTCACTCACTTTCCATTTGGGGGCTAACAAAACACGGGCCGCAGTTGTTGCATACATAAACAACCTTTTCTGACACCTGGGAATTTCAGTCTGGGTTATCCCCAACAAAAAGGACTCTAGTTTTTTTGGGGAAGTAATTTTGAACATTTTTTTTCTATTCATTATAAATCATTTCCCAATACATTTCTACCTTATTACATGTCCACCATATGTGGAAGAATGTTCCCTACACTTCTTTACGCTTCCAACACTTATCTGATTCTGTTTTATAAATCTTATGAAACACACTAGCCAATCTTTTTCAAGCTTTCCACCTTTCAAGCAAATCCTTTCCACATGCATTGATCTGCCGGTAACCCTTTCTGTGCTGCACAGGACTCCAGGGACCACACAGAGGGCTGCTTCCCAAAGCTATTTGGCCCTACCTTTGCCCTGCATGAGCAGAGCACAGCTTCTAGAACATGCCCCACACTGCCCTGTGGCTATGCATTACAGGGAGAGGTCAGTGGTGGAGGGCCTTCAAGAACTGCTGAAGAACCTCAGAGTCCCTCCAAGGATAGTTTGAAAGCCATTCACTTCCTTAGACAAAATAGCATTTAAAATAGTTATCCAACCCCCAAGCTGTCTGAAGGCAATCCTGTATAGCAGGGGTCAGCAAACCTTTTCAGCAGGGGGCCGGTCCACTGTCCCTCAGATCTTGTGGGGGGCCGGACTATATTTTTTTGGGAAAATGAACGAATTCCTATGCCCCACAAATAACCCAGAGATGCATTTTAAATAAAAGGACACATTCTACTCATGTAAAAACATGCTGATTCCTGGACCGTCCGCAGGCCGGATTGAGAAGGCGATTGGGCCTGATCCGGCCCCTGGGCCTTAGTTTGCCTACCCATGCTGTATAGGGAAGTGTTTTTTTTAACGTTTAACATTTTTATATATGTTGAAAACTGCCAAGAGTGGCAGCCTGGTAAGATTTGTGAGGTATAAATAGTAAAATTATGGAATGGGACGTCCCTATTTTAATCAGAGAAATGTTGAAGGATATGTGCATGCAGACATGTGTAAAGGACAGTGTATGCCAGCCTTTTCCAACCTGGTGCCCTCCAGATACTTTGGACTACAACTCCCATCAGCCCCAGCAAGCACAGCTGTCTAGAGGGCGCCGGGTTGGTGAAGGTTGGGTATATACTACATAGTTTGCCACTGATATTTCATTTCCAGTTTTTCTTTTCTCCGTTTATTGCATTCATTGCTCTTCCCCTTTTAAGGGCCCAATGTCCATCTCCACCCCACCCCGGCCGCCTCATGAATTTCCATTCCTAACAGAATCTTGTGGAACTGACTCTGTGACTTGGAAGTACTGAATCACGAAGCCAGAACCTTTCCAGCGAAACGAGGCCTCCTGAAGACGTGGCGTGCATCTGGTACAAGGTCACCCTTTTATTCCTGACAAGTTAATCCAGAATAAATATGACTTTCTGCTGCCACATGCAGAATCTGTGACTTAGAGCAGAACTGCAACTCTGCACTTAAAGCACACACACACACATAGTAGTGGTGAAATCATGCTCTCTGAATCCTTTGAAGCATGATAGAAGCAAGGAAGGGTGGCAGGGAAGAAAAGGCAGCCTAGAAAAGTCTAGGCTTGCTTCTGTGTTTTTATCAGGAGACTGATATGCAAGAACCATCAAGCCAATCTCTTCAAAGTGTAATTGCTTAACAAACTCAGCTACTTTCATTTTGTTGTTAAAGGAACAGGAATCACAAAATAAGAATTCTGGTGGAAGAGTCTTCACATAATCTGCTGCTTCTTAAGATTGTCTTGGGTGTGCAGAAAGGATGGACACAATCAGCATGAATGAACATACAGT